TATGTGTTGTCCATTACACGAAGTTAAAGAGAAATCCCTCTGTGTGCATTCCCTCTGAGGCAGAGCATCCGAACAACAGCAATCGGGCCTTTTCCTTCCCCACTCCAACAGCCCCAGTAATCCCAGTCACACCAGCAGGGTTCAATAATGCCTTTCTGAGGACAGAGGCTGAGGGGCTGAGCTCTCTTGCTGCTTCATCACTTGGAACCCCTCCATAAGGGCCCCTGATGTGCTAAAAGCTCACACATGCATGCAGGGCTTTATATGAGCTTTTGCTTGTTTGGGCATTTCCTTCCTAATTTGCCTCCCTCCCATACATGCACACACCCTCTAATAATGAAAAGGTTAAGGAAATGGGAACAAACCCTTAAGTGAAGCGTGAAATAGGCTCCATGATTCCAGATAGCCAGGGCCATTTAAAGCCTTGCTTGGCATTTGCATTATAAGAACAAATCCTGTACAAGAATCTCTCTTCATGCTTTCTACTCCTGCATTAATTCATGAAGTGTCATGTATCTAGCATATTTTATTATACATGAGAACTAGGCAAATTAAAATTCTCAGCTGAGTATCTCATCTGTACGCTCAAGGCCACCTCCCTCAGCCCTGGAGAGGGTTGAAGTCACATTGGTTTAAACTCAGCTCACCTTTTAAACCCAGTCAGTTAAACTAGCACAAATTCTCATAGTTTCCTTCAATTCATTTGCTATGCAATTTATTTCCACTTATCCTTAACCTCTTCATAGCTAATATAAGCTGAAGAGAAATACAGCTCTTTCAAAGGGAAATAAATGTGCTGTCGGATAATTTAATTGTAATTGAGTTTTCAGGGTGCAGCCCCCCACTTGCTGAACTGCTGCAGTCTGGGCCTGGCCCAGGCCCATCACGAGGTGCCCACAGGACCAGCTGTGCCAGGTAAGTTCCATCAGTTTAAAATCCACTGATTAAGACATATTACAGAATGGGTGGCACTTATGGACATGGTTTAGTGATGGACTTGACTGTGCTGGGTTAATGGTTGGACTCAATCTTAGATTCCTTAATCCCACCCCAGGGCTTTGGGGAACAAAACTGCCAAGCCATGTTTCTAATGGCACAGAGCCACACAGTGAGAAATACCCTCCCAATCTGTGTCAAAACACAGGCTGTGGATCAATAGACTGGAAATGTTAGGAACAACCTCTTTGCAAAACTAAAACAGAATGGAGAGGTGCAAGTAGGTGATCTTTAATGTTCCTTCCAACACAAGCCATTCAATGATTCCATGATTATCCCCAACAGCAGGAATGTTACCCTGTAGGAACCAAAACTTAACTTCCTTTAAATCACTACAGAAGAGGGAACAAAACTGAAAAACAGAGTGGGTTTTTTTAGCAGACTCACTATTGATGTGAAACTCTACACGTGTATTCTAATATGCTATTGTAAACTAATTATTGATCCTGGAGATTATGTCTTTTTCCAAGGGGCACGATCCTTTCAGCTGGAATCCCAGGCAGAATGCTGATAAGCCTCTTGCACTTTGCAAACCCACTTGTCAAAAGTAGTAAGAGGAGAATTTGTTAGTCTTCTAATTAAGAAGCACAAGGCCCAATTAAGCTCTCACTAGTGTGCTACACAACCCAGTTAAACAATGGCATGCCGAGGTTTTTCCCACCCCACCAACAAGAGTTCATCGCTTGAGTTCATCTCCGACTGGTGGTTTGGAAGAATTTCTCTGGCCAGAGGCAGCGATGAGGAGTCCTGTGGACAGCTGCAGCCCTGCTGCATTAATACTTTGGGACATCTTATTGTTCTGCAACTGGAATTGTTCCGAGACACTCTCTGACTCGCTAATAGCATCTCAGAGACAGCTTCCCTCTCCTCTGCTTAACAGAGTCATCCCTGCTTTGCACACAGATCATGTAGAGCTAAATGTTCAAATTGATGTTGATTATCTCATTATTGGAATCTAAAAGGGCCCCCAATTCCCAGCAAGGAAAATGTGTGTGCTCTCATCAGCTCTGAGGCTGCTGTGCTGGACCATGGCCATGCTTCACAGCAATTCCTACTTCTGTTTTATTTCTGGAAGAACACAGGTTAGGACAAGTGGCTTCCTCTTTCTACAAAAGATGTAGAAGAAAGTTAAGTTGCATCTTGTTGCTATCTAAGAGCTGGTTACTTAAGAGCTAAAAATATCCTCCTCACAAAGGGCTGAAGATGCACTAAGCAATTTCAGATTTATCCTCAGCTCTGCAGGACAAGACCCAGCCAGCAGACTGACACCTCAGGAAAGCAGTAACGAGCTCAAACATTTCAGTGGAAGAACTGCTCAATGCAGAGCTCCAAAGGTCTCCTGCAGGAAGACCAAAACCTCCCTGTGTACTGAAACACCTCTGATCAGGGTCTCAAAGGCAGGTCAGAGCATTCCCTTGTAGACATTGGTTTTGCCATTCTCTATGGACACCAGTTTATCCCCAGACCAAAACACTAAAAGTTCTGTCTCAAGAACAGACTCGGACCCTGGTACTCCTTCCTAATGCCATTTAAATCTAATTTTAACACCCATTTACCTGTGTGACTGACTGCTCTGCCTCATAAATGAAGTCTTTTTAAATATGTATGCACTAAACTGAAAGACAATAATGGCCTCAGGGAAGTTGCATTCCATCAGGCAATTACCTGTGTTTTTAAAATCACTGAATAAGTAATTCACACAACTGATTTCTCTTGCACATAACAATAAACAATTTTATCAGCTATGCCCTGCTTGGGCTGCCATGTACCAGCTCATTTTATTTTGTTGAGAACCACCGCTAACCAGGGAAATTAATTGAAATCATAAGGTAGTGAGAAGGGGAAGTACCTGCTCTAACAGGAGCTGACAAAAGCACATTTCTAAGAGGGGAGTGATAAAACCACATCTCTCAAGGGCAAATGGGCCAATTCCATCCCATAATTCAGGAGTCACTCTCAAATGTGCTGAGGACTGAGCAAGAAAAGCACCTAGCCTGGAGTTCCTCTGCTCTAATTGCTTTGCTGTTCAACATTTAAGTCAGAGCTTAAAGCCATTTCCAGAGCCAGACCTATTTGCATGCCACACATCCCACTAAAATCTGCACACGGAGCTTTCCAGGCAAAACACTGTGAACTTCAAATTATAAATAGACAACAAAAAACAAAATAAAAAAATCCAAAAGAGGGCTACACACTCAGGGTACAACTAATTACATCCTGACAGCCCTAAGGCATCAAGTCTTCCCAGATAAAACCCCTGAGGCAGCTCAGTGATCCATCAACTTGGCCATACTCTGCAGGGTTTGCCCAGCTTATGCCTTGGGAACACAGCAGAGCCTGATGCTCACAGGAATTTTTGCTGCTCACATCATGGTACCAAAGCTGAGTGACCAAGCCAGACCCTGCAGCAAAGCTTTTGGATGCCACCAGTTTGCAAAGACACCCTTAGAACCACACTGGACTGCAGCCACCCTCTGCCTGAGCCCCAGAAAGAACCCACCTGGGTGGGAAGCAGATGGAAAGTGATGCCCTCTCCTTTTCCTTTGCAAATAGTGATGATTTTATCTCCCTGCTTTTGTGCAAGGGATATTTCAGCCTATCCTGAGGTGGAGGGAGCGCAGCCATCCTCATGGCAGCATCCAAAGAAATGGGACACTTACGCTATGGGCAAGCAAAGGCAAATACACTTTGGGATGTTTGGAGGACAGGATTTGGAATGGGAAGAGCTGCATTGTGGAAGTATGGACTGTGTTCCCAGCTCTGCCACAGCCTCATCTCTAGATTTTCTCATCTCTGGGTTTCCAGGAGCTGTCAGCATCCAGCATTCCTGAAACTCAGACCCTTGAAGAGGTGGGGCACAGCAGAGTTTGCAGGACCCATCAGGGCTCTGTGGCCACATAAAGTCACTTCCAGCACACAGAAAAATACAGAAGCAGATCTCTATTTTTGTTTGTAACTAATGCCTGGGAAAAGCTTTGCAACATCTGACACTTGCAAGAGATCAAATTATATCCATTAATGACAATTTCTTCAGTGTTTCCAGCAGGATAAAGCATTAAAAGAGCAGCCTCTAGGCATTGTATATGTTCTTAAAGTATCTGTGCTTCCAAACTATCTTTAATTAATTAAATATCCCAAAATTACTTATTAATAAGGATCTGTGGGCTTTGTAAACTCCAGACATTTTGCATGAATTAAAGAACAATATAATGAAGTTTTAATGAATACAAAGTCACAGTTAATGTAAAATTTATATATAGCAAGCCAGAGGGGGAAGGAATTTAAAAGTACCTTTAATCATAGGTTATTGGCAGCTGGGGAGCTGATTTTTTACACTTTTCTAATGAGTGCTTGGTACTTGTATTATCACATTCGTCATGCCAACATGGTCTGACCTGGTAGAGTATAGAAAGTACCAGCTCATTTAAAGCTGCATTTGCTGATGAGGGATTTCTGCACAGTGAGTGTGGGGCCGATCCCCAGCTGCATTTACAGGCAGTTTCATCCTTAACAAATTACTGGGAGCAATATTTGACATGTTCTGCAACAGCCTTCAGCCAGGGAGCTGAGATCAGTCACAGGGTGAGGGAAATACATAATAAACTTTCACCTGCTGCTGCACATGAGCATTTAGATTTTGCCCTCAGTAATGGAGAACACACCTTCCAGAGCTCAGGTGAGTCCCTTTTAGCAAAATTAACATATCACCACCTGCAGCTTCTCATTGCACTGACACAAAGCACATTTTCAGCACATTTTCTTCCACTCCTGTTCACCTGTGACCTTCTCAATGAGCCTACTGTGCATACAAAACTAGCAACAATGTTTTACTTGTCTTGGGCTCTGCACAAGAAAACAGGATAAACCCAGAAGTTTTGTAGTCTATCAGACTTGAATTAAAACGATTAAAATCAGTAACAAATTAAGCTAAAAAGAAGTTATCCCATGACACTCAGTCTAAAGGAAAATAAGACAGTAACAATTGAAACAGAAGTAACATATAATTATATAAAGAATCAATTCATTTTTATTAACTCTTTATCAATGCTGAATGCATTCAACACAGTTGTAAGTACAGTAATATTTCATCCACAAAATTTAAATAGTGCAGGAGACACTGGATGCCAGAGGGTCATACAACTACTGCAACTGTATTTATGAAAAACAAAAACACTGTAGTGCTTCCATTTTACTGTTTTAGTATGCTCATTATTTTTCTCTTTATAAACTGGAAGGATACAGAGCTAGAAAACACTTGTCTTTCACTTTCAATGTGACATTTCATAAAAAAAAGTTACAAAATCCATCAGCTTTTAATAAACACACACACACTGGAATTCCTCAGTTCATCCAACATGGGATCTCTGCCCTAGACCCAATAAAGGACTTCAACCAAGGAAGCAAAATGCCTTCTTCAACTGCAGTTATGTTACTCCAGAGAAGTGACTGCAAAATCCATGGAAATAACCTGGAGTTACCCCAGAAACAAGGAGGCAACCACTCCCTCCCCCTTCTGAGCCCCCAGAAGTCTGCCAACCAAAAGCTTAAAACAATAGGAAGGCTACATCACAAAATGAAGCAGCAATTACCTTCAAGGGTACCGTGAGATATTTCAAGACTGAAATTACTCTGAGTCAAGTCAAATGGGTTTAGTGCATTATGATTTGGCTTTATAAAAACATGTAAATGCACACTACATACAGAACCACTTGCATGTTTCAGGGTTCAAGGAGTTAAAAACCACTGCATATTCCTTACAGGTGACTGAAACACATGGATTGAAAAATGTTGCTAAAAATCCAGTTTAAAAAAAAGAAAGCAAATATTTTATGAAAGAAACAGTCTATCTGCAACCGCAACTATTAGTGCTCCCATTTGATGGGCTGATGTAAATCTAACCAGAAAAGATGCACTCATATATATAAAAATCAAAACAGGCAGGTTTCTCCTTCCAGGCTGGAAAAAAAACCCTCCAAAATATATGGCATATTTAACCAATAAAAGGGAGCTAAGCTTTACCCAAGCCTTTCATAATGCACTTCATGAAATATATTTTTCTTTTAAAAGAACCACTGGTATTAAATAGAGCTTTTTCTTTACATACAGTATTGGTATATACAAAACAAACACAAAACAAAGACAGATGCAAAAAAAAAAAAAACAAACAAGTGATTTTAATAGTCTTGAAGCTCAGGAATATTTTTGTACAGGTCCAAAGCCTCTGGGTTTGAGAAAGCTCCCCGCTGCTCAACTTCTTTCCCTGCTATTATTTGCTTCACAGCTACTTCCACTTTTTTCCCATTTATTGTGTACTGAAAAACAAAACCAGCAAAGATAAAATTATATTTTTTTTTGATATGGCAGCTTTATGGAAATATTCATGAAACCCCACCACCACCCCAGAACTCTATCAAAATTTAGCACAATGCCTTCTCTTCTCTTACATTTGAAGTACTTTCTTCTGAAAAATCACTTGAGGAGTAGGTGGAATTCAAAGAGTTTATATGTCATTTTAGTTTATTACTCCTATTGGTAATACTGTGAGAACACAATCAAGGTCGAATATAAAACAACAAAACCAGATCAGAATCATGGTATAAACACTAAAAATACTTCATGTTTATGTTCTGACACATACAATTTTCAAACAGTTTTGAGTTTTGTATGGGTGGGTTAAAAAACCAAAGCCCAACTGTACTGGGATTTGGGAGAAGGAAACCATGATTTTCTTATCTTAAATGGACAGTCTTTTTCTTTTTCTAATAGGGAAAAGTGAAACTCTGAGCTTAAATGGTCTTCTATAGCTGAATGTTTCAAAACAAACCATAACAAACAAAATGATGTATAACAAACAGAGGCTCCACTTATGTATCACTCAAATTCTATTACATTGCGTTACTCTAAGTAAGGACAATGCAGAACAAAAAGCCCTAGCTCTTATGTTTTTGGGGTCAGAACACTAATTTCTGGCAAGTGAAGTATGGGAAAGAACTACTTCAATGTGAGCAGGAACTGCCAAGGCCCATTTTGGATGATCTCTTCTTTTATAGGCACCAAGGCTTTATTAGCCCTTTCCTTGTGCTGATACCATAGACATTTTGGAGTGTCAAATTGAAAAAAATGACTGTCAAATATCTCCTTAATTTTGTCTGTCTGCTCGGGGCACAGGATACCCACTTGCTTTACTAATGAATCTGCTGATCAAGGAACTCAGGTTGTTCCTGGCCTCCAAGACCACTGAAACTCAACTCCAGGCACCACCATTTTTCACTAGAGATCATTCAGAGCCAAGTTAAATAATCCTCAACTCAATGCACTCTTGCAATATTGACCCTGATGCTAAACTAAACTTTCCCCTTTTAGATCTACTGAAGTCACATGTAATCCAACCCTCCTGAGCCACCTTGATTAATCACTCTTCTTTCATTAAAGCTATTCTTTCTATTACTAAATCACCTCACCACAGTTGTACTATTTCTACCAGAAACCAGTGTCAGGATTAGATTGCATTTGCAAATGAGGATGCAAACATTTCTAAAAGTGGGAGAAGATAGGAGGTTTCCCTTCCAAGCAAACTTTAGAAGATGGGAGACAGCTTTGATCACTTTACCACTGGCACATTTATCTGAAAGGTAATTAAAATTCACTCAATTCTCAATTCAGTCAATGTGTGAACTAATTAATGACCTGAGGAGGCTTTCCTGAGGGGCAGCCCATCACAAACATCTCACTACCATCAACTTTGTGCTGTACATTCAGGTGATTTACACAGTTCACAAGTTCAACATTTCATGCAGAAGGTGAGTTAAAGCCTAGAAAACCTAAACTTCAGAGGATTTTTCTTACACTTTTGAGCCAAGTACTATTTGCCAACAGTGGCCTGAAGCAGAAGTAACTCAGCAGATCAGAATCAGGTCACTGTGTGGAACACAGGCTGGTAGTGTTGAACCCTAAAACACTTTCACAGGGAAACCTACAATGGCAGTAAAAGAGTATCAAGAATATCAAATGATGGAGAACCCAAGTTTATGTGCAAATGGACTTGGGAAATCTACACTCTCCACCCCCATTCCGCTGCTCAGAGCTGTTGAGGAGACTGGAGCATCGGAGAAGACTATAAAAACAGACATTCCAACTAAAGAGTTCACACAATGAGCACTGTAGCAGAACAGCTTCAGAAGACTGAGCGTGCAGAACCCTGAGATAACAAATTTCTCCTCCCACACAAGCACAACAATTTAATTTTAATTACTGTTACAGTTAAGACAGTGATAGAGCTACATTTAAGGAGCTAAACAGATGTAAAAGTGAAATGGTTTACAAAACGATTTTCTGAATTTGCTGAGTGCTCTCAGCTTTCCTAAGGATGTCACTTGTAACAGGAACACAAAAACAAAATAAGCTTGTGGATAGTGAGAGAAACTAATGTTAAATTACCTTTTTAATATTTTCCTTTAAAAGGCTAAGGATATATTACCGAGAAAATGCAACACATTTAAAAAACAAAAAAACACGCTTAGCTGAAAAGGAGATGAAAAGATGTTGCTAGGCAACATAGACAAACTATTTATAAAGCTCGAATACACTTTTGAGATGCTAAAATTTCCATGCATGTGGGTTTGAAGAGCAGTGACAACTGCTCCTTAATTACTATTCAAGGTGACAAAGAAAAAAGTAGGCAGCATTTTTCCTGACATACCGGAATGCCTTTGGTTTCCAGGATGAGGCTGGGAACATGCCTGGCGGAGAGCGCGATCCGGATCGCGTCCTGAATCCTCTTCACCAGGCTCTTGCTGAACGTGTGGTTTGATGCCATCTTCAGGAAGAGGATCACCCTCTCCTCCCCATCTTTGTTGTACTGAGGGACGCAGAGGCTATCAGAAACCTCCTCAAAGGCTTCCACTGAGAAAAAAAAAAAGGGGAAGCCCTCATTAGTATTTGTATTTATGTATCATTCTGGATGCACATTTTTTGTGGTTGTATCATAAAATGTCACCTCCCCTAGAGCAACAAAGGCAAACAAACACCCTGGCTAGATTATCCTACACTGGGCTTCCCCTCTGAGTGCTCTGATTTTAACTCCTGCCCAGGTGAAAACCCAGGTTTAAGGATCATATACATTTAGGTCCATCACAAAAAAAAATTTTGTTAAAATTTTTGGGACAGATAATAAGCTTTTACACTAAGCCATTTTCTTTGGCTTTCCTCACAGTCCCCACCGATGCACAGACAGGAGAATAACATGCCTGATGACACAACAACAAAGAGGCAACAGGTCCTTAAGTCTCAGATTAGCACCTTTGCAGGGGCAGTTTCACCACCTGTCACAACACTGACAGTCTTTGAAGCACAAAGCACAAGCTCAAGAACTGCTTCTTAATTACCAGGTAAAGGTCCAATAAAAACAGTGTCAAGAGCTTGTCTCGGGGAGAAAAAAAGCCTGACAAGTTAAATGTTCTCTTATAAACCTGCAAAATACTATCAGTCTGTAAGGTCTTACTATATGCTCCTTAAGGTGTTGCTTTTGTGTATCTCAGCTGGTCATCTCTCACCCTTCAGATATCTCAGGAAAGCAACCAGCTTCAAGTTCACAACAGCAAATTTTGCTAATGCTACAACACTCTGTATTGTCTTTCATTACTTAATCCTTTCAAGCACTTTATAATGCTTGATTTTCAGATTTAAGGCAACAATGGCATAGCTGAAAGAGGTGGAAAGTCGATTTCATACCTATGTTATAAATTTCAGAACTTCCAAATCTTACTCCATTGGGATTTAATGTACCATCACTGAAAAATCAGACAAACAAAACAAAGAAGCATTAAAATGTGATTACAGTTTGATGAAGAGAAAAAAATTGATGCAATTAACCAAATCTCTCTACATTTCAGGCAGTGAAAGTGCAGCCACATTAGAAACAGAATTGTAAAAGGATTTAATTCAAAAAGGCATTTTGCTCATTAAAATGAAGCTGTACAGAGAACCTCAACATTTTTCATTCATTCAACTTTGTTTCAAACAGCAACTTTGAAATGCAAGCAGAAAGTTTAGCCCCAATTGTGATCTTGAATGTCTAATGATCACTAAAATAGGCACAGCTTAATACCTGACCTTCTATAATTAAGTTTTGCTGTAAAACAAGTCGATGTTAAAGACAAGACCAGAGGGCAATCTCCCAATTCACCACCTTCAATGTGCTGCGCTCTCAACTGAAACTAAGTGATAATTATAAACCACGGAAAGCAGAAAGTCCAACACTGTCTCATGTTCACATATAAAAAAAGTAGTATAGAACTTTGAAATGTAGTCCCTTCCCTCTAATCCCACTGCTCTGATTAATTTAGGAGTTGAAATCCAAAATACTGGATTAAATAAAATATAAAGCTATCAGGTAACACAAAATCATGTACATTATACTCCAAGGTGAAGATCTGCAAATTTTATTGCAAACTTGTTTACTCAAAACACTTCTATCAGAATGCTTTACCTGCGACCCAGCATGACAATTCCTCCAGTCTTGGGATTAATTTTGCAGTAATCACCGTGGGCCCAGACACCTATTAGGGAATGGCAGAGGTTAAGCAGCTGATTTCTTACACATCCAGTCACAGCAGACATTTGTGTAACTCAACTCGCATTAACTTTATAAAATACATACCTAAGTATAATTTATGAGACATAGTTTGAGAACTACCCACAGCAAGTGTAGCAGTATTTACCTACACAAACAATTCACGCTGCATTTACTACAAAGAGCTAGCACACTCAGGAGCAGCTCACACATCAGGATCAAACTCCACATTATCTTCTGATTCTTTGTTTGCGTGACTAAACAGCATCCTTTACGAAGCAGATGAATAGCTCCTCACATTTTGAGCAAACTGGAAGAATCCTCCACAAAGGTAACAATATTCCTACTAGTCTTCCTTGATCCACTTCTTTTATAATGTACAAGTTTTCTGGGCTTGCATAATAGGTCTCAACAATTCCCTAGGGAGCTTATGTGCTTAATTTTCTTGATCCGTGTTAAGGTAAAATCAGATTTGACTTTTCAGGGCTAGAATGACTTCTCTATTACTTTTAAGACTGATTCTGCCGCATGGCCTACTAAAAGCAGAAGTACAAGCCAATTCTACTCAAGCTTTTTCCAGAGAAAAATTCCAACCTCAAATACTTGCACATGCATGTGCAAGTAAGACCATTTCTAACTTAATTGTTACAACCTGAAGCCCATTTACAAAGAAAGACAGCAGAGAGGTTTCAGAGAGAACCTCTGGACCACAGTGATTTCAGTCTAACAACTGTCATACACATTTTTTCTATTTACTGCTGTTAGGCTCACATGCAGACTGCAACTTCCACATTCCCTCAGTTTTCCTGTAAGATTCTCTCCTGCTAAACATCTGACTTCTCTTGTGAATCCACTCTGTATTGCTGCTATTTTTGAAAAAGCTTCCAAGAGACAGTAGCAGGAGATCCTGCTCCTATAAAATCCCTGCCCAGGAGGCAGCAGGGATTTCAGCATCACTGTGCCACATCAGGAGAAGCCCTGGATTAGCAGAGTCCTCCACAATTATTAAGAAGAAAGCCTCTGGCCCACAGTGCCTGTTCCTTTGCTCTGCAGGAGACCATGAATGCAGAATATGCATGTTTGAGGCAGCATATACTTAATCCTCATGCTAATGAGGTAGCAGGTCAGCACTTATCCCTTGGGATTCACTCCTCCAGCTAGGCAGGAGCAGTCTGGCAGAGGTGCAGTAGCACTCATTAATAGCTGATTGCTACCTGACCTATTCAGCACTTCCATTTCACACTCATGCCAAGCAGTCTGTGTCTGCACTGCAGACTGGGAGGCTGTGACAGTCAGATCTGCCTAATGAAAGCAGCAAAATGGGATTAGAGCCTTGCAGAGGTTCTCACTAGTTTGATTTGGATCCATATTCAAAACAAAAGCAGTAGAAAACAGAGTGAGGTATTACAAAACACACTGAGGGGTTCTCACCCTGGGAATCGAAATTCAAAGCTGCACATGCCTGTCACTGAGCAGTAGCAAATAAACCTGTGCCTCACTAGAAACAGCAACACAATATCCAAGGCCCTTCATGACATACCTGGGAATTTTGAAAAATAAGCCTTCCTGTATTTGCTTCCATTCTCATCGTTCCAGAAGTGTGTGGGCTGACAGGGAATAGGCTTCGTACAAACCAGCTCTCCACTTTCACCCCAAACTGGTTTTCCTGTTTACAAAGAAAGAGGCATTTTCAGCATTTCCCTTCTATAAATAACAGGGTACCAAAGCAAAGAGCACCTACAGTTCTCAGTTATTATTACAGCCAGATGCTGGTGTAAGTCTGAGACATGCTGTGATTGCTGGTCTTGGTTTCAACTGGTGTTCAATTACTTAGCTCATCCCTAACTTAACCTCAGTAACTTCAGGAGAGTTACTCTACAGGGTGGAAGCCAGCCTGGCATGCACAGCAACACAGCTAGTGAACACACACACCAAAAGCTGGAATTTGGCCTTGATGTGGTTTAGCAGAGTAATGGATAAGGAAGTACTGCTATCTTCACTGGAGTCCCTTAAAATCCAGATCAGGTGGATCCACAGGCAGCTTTTGTGCAACACATTTCTAAAGTGGAATCACATTAACAACTGACTGTTTACCCATCTGATGAGTGAAAATTAGGGTCATGTAAATACCGTATTTTATAAGCACACATAGTATTTTGAACACTAGTTACCTTCATCATTCCATGCTTCTACAGCCATTCCAAGATTTCTGGCCTGAATTTCTCCTTTGTAAACTGGAACTGCAACATTCTGACCCATGAAACAGGAAATTATATCTGTCCCACCTATAATAAAAGGAGTCCATTTAGAATATACAGAACTTTTTGGAAAAAGCAAACTTGAAAACTACATATGAACTGAAGAACAGTAAACTGCCACCTTCACCAAATGCTTCTGATTCACATTAAGCACCATAAAGCAAACAGTGTTATCTAGGATGTTGTGACTTTTAATAAGAGGTTTCCTTCCTTACTTTACATGTCTATATGTGCATTCCTTTCACGTAGAACTACCCCTTCAGGCACAACTTTTCTCCTTTCAACATTTTCTTTAATCTTGTTTAAGGAAATTTCCACTTATAGGAGACTGAGAAAATAAACAGGCCCTAGTTTACAGACTTAAGATATTTAGAGAATTACTTAGAAATGTTTCCTTGTTTGTTTTGAATAAAGTAACCAGTCAAGCTATTCCACTCAACATTTACTTAGCTTCTATATCTTATTAGCACAGAAAGAAGGGAGCCATGCCTATAGGATGAACTGTTATCTTAAGAAAAATAGATACTGTCAAAGTGCTTACTTAACTGGAATATTTATAGTCTTTCTAGGACTTCAAGAAAGAAGAATTAAGACACAAATCAATCATGTTAGCTTTACTCAAAAATAGGCTTCTGCATTAGAGTCTATTAATGTCTGTAGTAGCAAGTTCTAGATTCAGCACTACTCTTACCGAGCTCAGAGTCTGAGAACTTCAGCAGAATGGTTATACTTTTAAAAAAGAAAAAAAATCAAACTAAACTGAGTTATAAAGTTCTTTGAAAAAGTCAGTCCTTGTTACAAAGCAAAGTGAGGAGTGCTGTGGTGGATCTTATGTGACTATAAGTTGCCTCAGCACTCCTTACAACAAACTGCTCAGCATGGGGGCTTGATATTTCTCTAATTACATAATTTACAAAAAAATCTGTCTGCAGTGCCAATTACTTGGCACAAAAGAACTGAAATGGGAACTCTCCAAGAGATATTTTCTGCTAAAGTCAGCTATTTGCAGAACAGAATGTTCTGCAGGTTAATAGACTCTTTTCTTGATCTCAACCCTGCCACCCCTAAGGACAGCCAGTCAAAACAAATGATCATACTTAAAAAGAGCTGAGGTCCAAAACATCCACCAAAAACCCTTTGGAGTGTATGAGTTTCATTATGGCACAGTGAATTATGCACTAAAAAGACAGTTCATTCCAGTTTAACTATAACCAATCCCAAATGATCCAAGGCTTAAGTTTCCCAAACATACAGCACAAATGAGCAAGGAGGAAATGCACAGGCAATCAAGAGAATTACTGAGATGCTGCAGCATAAAAGCATCACCTGAAATGGATCCCAGGAGGACACTGCTTTTTATGTGTTTGTAGACATACTCATAGCTTTGAGATTTGAGTGGTGATCCTGTAGACAAGATAGTGTGGAGCGTTTGGAGATTGTGTGTTTCACCTTAAAAAGGAGAAAAGCCAACATAGGTTAAGGTATCATTTTTGGAAGGGTTTCAAACTCTTTGTCACTACAACACAGAATAATTACATAAAGGACTGTGGCAAGATACTGGGCCAAAACCAGGAGAGGAAAGGTAGGAGGGAGGACAGGAGGGATGCACTAGCTTTTTGAAGCTTACATGGTTTTAGATTTTTCTCTTCTAGCACAGCCAGCCACTTTGCGCCCGTTCCAAGGATGGTGATCCTAGAGGGAAAAAAAGAGTTTACACATTTTGCATATTTAAAAGTGCTAAGATTCCAAAGATCTGCAATTCCCACAGCAGTAAGAAGGGGCTGTTAGATATTCTGTACGTGGATTAGTCAAACAATGCAGTCTCTTAAAGCTTTCTAAGTGCAAGGCACATCATTCTGAACTATCAAAATTAGTCAGATCACATGTCACTTCTGCAGCTTCAAAACTTTTCATTCTATCTTTAAATATTAAGCAAAGCTTTCCGACCTCATGAAAACATCATTCACTTACATTTACAGGAATTTGTAGCTGCAGAACACTCCAAGGACGTCAGAAAATATTATAATGTTTACTTCATTAACGGGCCATAATTGCCACAAAGCTGTGTAACACAAAGCTGTTGCCTTGGTATACTCTTACACAGAAAAAAAAAAAACTTTGTCATTTCAGTTGGATAAAAAATACTTTACTCTGAGACAGCACTCAGTGATTTTCCAGAGATACCTGTTCAGTTTCCACTGGTGAAACCCTGAACTACAAGTGCCTAAATGAACAGGAAATTTGCCCCAGCTGAACAACTCAATCCTGCCCTTGCAAAGTCTATCTAGAGCTTTGCAATACAATGGAATTAAAACTTGAAACAAAGGCTGTGACTCTTCCTTACTCTATCAATAGAAGTGCTACTTTAATGTTTCTGCTAACATTCAGGAAATCCTCTTCCCTGCCTTCTGCTAATTCATTTTATATTACAGCAATAAACTCACTCAAGAATAAACTCACTCAAGAAAATGTAGAGATAGATGAGGATAAGGGCTACAGTCTGAGTGCACAGAACATGGGCAATACAGACATCAGCAGAGCTTAAAAATGAGATCCTGCTATCTTGGCTTTTACCCCAAAGGCAAGATAGAAGGTAGAACACTTCCAGGCAAGGAGATATTTCAACACTATCAAAAGGGGATGCTTTCCCTTTGCCATTCAGGTGGATGACTCTCAGCTCTCAGGTTACTTGCACAAACACATCGGTGCATAGAGCAACTTACCAGGCACATGGGAACAGCACAACAGAATCACAGAATGCTTTGGGTTGGAAGGAACCTTAAGGTCACCTGGCACCAACCCCTCTGCCATGGGCAGGGAACCTTCCACCACAAGAGCCCACAGGACACTGCTCCTCAGTTACCACGTACCCCGACCATGTGGACCATTTTCACCCTTATGTAATCTCTTACTTTCCTTCCATGCCTCCAATCAGTGCTTATTTTACATTAGAATACAAAATGCTTCTCTATTTTTAATCTTTGACACTTCCTCTCTGGCACACACACAGAGCCAAGTCTCCTATTATTCCCTTCCAAACGCTACAGAACTGCATTCAGTCACCAATCCACTAATTCACTTCAACAGATCATTTAGTGGACGTCCTCTTGAGTGGTTCTTGCCACGCAGTAGGAGATTGCATATTCTTACAGTATCATCAGGGTATCTGGAGGCAAGTGTGGTGCCTCTCCAGAGAAGCAAGGTAGTCTTCACATGTTGAAGCCTTTTTTTAACATATTTAACATATGAGTGAGCTGGGAACAGACTGCATGATGAAGTACCACCCAGATGGCCACCGCTTTTAGCGCCAGATTACAAAAGTGAGACATGCAGACACATTTATCTTCACTCAGATTTGGCATGGAGAAACAATGCTTAAAAATAAGCTGTGTTATTTCTTGATTCTAATTTTTTGCCTGTTGTTCGACCAGGATTTTTTTAGGGGGCGGGGCATGGCTCAAGTTTGTGGGTTTGTTTTGTGCTGTTTCTCTGCTGGAAGCATTTTGACTAGGCATTAACTTTCAGTTATAACAGCCAGAGACAAAATGTCAGTCTTTAAATATTACATGTCACAAGAGACTGTTTAAATTATTAATTATCAGGAATTGGAAAGTGAATCTTTTCCACTCATCCACTTTCTACCACCAAGTTAATTTTAATTATCAATTAAAAATTACACTTATTTTACCAGTAATAGCATTCAAATCTACTGTTTACATCCAGGTGGCAAAATAGGAAAGTTACTAAATAAATAAATAAATAAATAAAGTTCAACCAGTGCACAAATTTAAATGCCACCACAGTGTCTTACAGCTCTTTATGTGGTACCTGCTATTTCTCTAGGCTTCAAGAAAGGGCATTCTGAGCATTTGCAGGCAGAAAAAAAAACAGTATAAAACAATTACAGAACAGCTTGTCAGCAAGAATTAGGCATTATAGACTAAAAAGCAAAATATGAAAATACAAGCAACCCTGCTGAGTCTTTCCAGTCAATTTATGTCTTTAAGCCCAAGTTCTCTATTGAGTCTTATGTTGAGCTGCTTGAAAAAAAAAGGATTCTTATTTACTAAGTTCTGAGTGCTCTGAGAAATTACTCGTCAGATTGCTCCCAATTACTGCCTTTTGAAAAGGCTGCTCTTGAAAACTGACTATTGAACCAGAACTCTTTGTTTGCCTGGAATTCTAATACTTGACTCAAATCTGAAACAGTTAGCTCTTTGTCTCTCCTGCTCTCTCAGAGTGTTTTAGCACAAAATTTTAAAAGTAGTTCCAATCGAGGCTAAGTCAAAAGACAAATCACGTCATGCTGTGTTCGAGTTCCTGACCAAGGGAACAACACCTTTATTGAGGCTGCTTGGATGTGGTCATTGTGACAGAAGCAAATACCATTATCCTTCTATTTAATCTTGTTTACATACCCTAGTCTGTCAGTCAAGTCCCAGAGCACATTTGGTGAGGGAATTAGAGGAGATCCATCATACAGGACCACTGAAGCTCCTGTAGCAAGTGCAGACACCAGCCAATTCCACATCATCCAGCCAGTCTGGAAAAAGAGGAGATACCTACATCAGTTTATCTTCTTCAGCTCTGCTGTTCTGGCAGCTCTAGCACAGGATCAGGAGGGGTGTCTGCTGTCACATGCTGGTAGAGGAGCTACAGGCAACTACAAGAGGGTGGACAGGTTTGGATCTTGGCAGAAGCTGGACCAAGGCATGGTCCCTGCCTTCATGCCAGGGGTACCACCCTCCCCTCCACTTCCCTTGCCTCAAGTTTTCCTGCTGTAAGAAACTGTTTAATACCTGAGTTCGTGCCCATCTCCACTTATTATTATGTCTAACCTTATTATTTAAGAATCAGCAAATAAGGCTGAAGCACTGCTGATCCTCTCACCTGTCCCAAGACTGATCAGCTACACGTTCCTGATGGATGCTCATCTAACTCATCCTTACAAATACCTAATGAGATGGGGATTCCGTGCCTCCCTATACACAGAGCTCCAAAGGCATGAGTCAACAGACCAGACAACTTTGAGACAAGGCAATTACAATGATCCCTCCACAGAGATATTGCAAACTGACTAGCTGTGTTAAAGTTCAGAAAGGAACTCATGAGGAAAGACATGAGCCTTCTCAAACAGCTGCAGTAGTGGGAGTCTTTGGAATCATTTTTCTTTATCACAGCATTAGAAAAAGCACCCCCACCACATACCTGAACTCCTACATAGATCAGGTTTACTCCCTTTCCTTTACAACATTTATAGCTGGGCAGTTTCTTTCCTCCCCATCAAAACAGAGACATAATAGAAATTCTCATCTTCTGTATGATCGAGCCTTGCACAATGGAGGAAATCGGAATCTGATTTGTAGGCAATATTGATGAGGCAGTTTGATCAATAAACCTCACAGGCTGTAAAAATCAATTAGTTTTCCTCACCAGTGAGGTCAGGACCATTTAACATGGGTTTGGCCTTTCATCAGAAAGGTCCCTGTTGCATTTTACTATTTTACCTGAATTTTTTTTCAACTCAGGTAGGACAATCCCTTGCAGAACAAAGATTTAAAATACTTTAAAATCTACTTGTATGAAGAGGTGTCTCATCTTTATAGGAAACACATATTACAGTGTTTTTAGAAATGCCTTAAGCCCCACTTGCCGTTGTGTAGTACATAATCACATCACTGCTGGTCATGTTGCCATGAAGAATGTGTTCCTTCAGGTGCTGTATTAGTGTGCCCTGGAAAGACAGAGAAAGAAAAATACAAGATCGCATAAATGAAAAGCAGAACTCAGGCAGCACATTAAGACTTAAAAATTACTAATATAGTCAATACTTTGCAGGATTAAAGCAAGTATTTCCTTTAACTACAACTGAAGTAAATCCCAGGGCCTATCTACAGCAGCAGCAATTGCATTCCTCATTCTCACATAACTTTTCAGCCTCTCTCATTAGACCTCAGCAATTCCCACTGCACATCACTTTTAATCCATGGAATAAATAACTTCCCTCACTTCCAACTCTACACAGCCATCAGAGTTGCAGAGTAATCCATGCAGACCATAATTTTAAACAGCAGGCTTTTACCAGTCAGATTTTCCAAGATAAGCCCTCTGACAGAGTTTCATTTTCAGTGTTTGGGCAACTGGGAGGAATGAAGGCCTGAGAGCTGCTATAAACTGCAGCAGCTGCCATACATTAGCACTATGTATCCAAATTATCTTATCTATTAACATCTAGGAGACAGAAGACCCAACACTGGAGATCTCTTGTAAGCACTGAAGTGACTAGCAATGTGAAGTGTCTCACTGCTCAGAGCATCAATATTAATAATGTACTTAAATATATTACTTTTCTTTTGTTGGAAATGCTGCTCAAGTACCTTCCTGATCATCGTTAAAGCATAACTTGTTAGGATAAATAAATTTACAGGCTACTTCATTAAGTCACTTCACTGCAGTGGCAAATTAACATGGCTGGTGTTAAAATAAAAAATGGTTCTTGCATTTATGCAAGGAGTTACAGTGAAACTATTAACAGCCTCATAAGCATGAAACAAGATTTACACTGAAAGAAAACAGATTACAGATAAACATTTGAAATGAAAAAGGAGAGTCATAAAACTAACACACGCTTTGGGAGAAAAGGCAGAAAACATTAAATAAAAATAAAGGAGTAAATCTTATTTTCGCTTCACGGCTCAAAGGAATCAGGTCTGAATTCACCTGCTGCTGTTTGAAACACCCTCAGCTGTCACAACGCTGCCACCTAGCTACAGCTACCACCTTCTACAGGGTAAAATTACAAAAACCTTTAGGATTTAGAAACACCATGTCTAACTGAATTGTTAGGGTTGCCGAAAGAATTGCAGGTGTTAACATAATTACTGCATTTACAAAAAAAAAGCGCATTGCCCCTGCAGGAGATTCTGAAAGAGCCACAAGAAATAGCAAAATTAAAAGTCAAATTCAATTAAAATAAATATTGGTTCTCTTTTTTTCTTCATCCAGTTTTGCTACTTCACAGTTTTGGGATCAAAAGGGGATTTTAAAACAATGACTTCAGGTAGAGGCTATGACCTATTCCCCTGCAAAAACCTGTTAAGACTCAGCCTGGAAACAAAAGGTACTGTGGGAGAAGGCAGAGCTGTTTCAACAAGCCTGCGGCCCAAGATGCTCTCTCAAGTTTATTTATAGGGCTTGTTTATTTATAGGACTTCTACAACCCTCAAAATAAATCCCAAGCACGTAGCATTTCATGACAGATATCTGGCAGCTGATAAAACTCAACTGGTCCGCTTGTCTTCACCGGGCTCAACATACGCCTGGTGGAGTGCTGAGCATCTGCAGTGCCAAAAACCAGCAGGCACTGCTGCTCCTGGGCCACACTGTGGCTCTGGAGGGACTAGTGCTAAGCAGCTACACAGCTGAGAGCCTGCCCTGAGTAGCTCCTTATGGCTGCTCACCCTGGTCTCAAACTAGCGGTGTTCTCTGCGTGCTGCTCAGGAAGAGTCCAAGCATGAAAAATCCTCAGAGTGACTCGCCTGCAGCTACACAAGGAGTCTGCAGCAGGGCAGATGCTTAAGCCCAAGTCTTGCAAGTCTTTAAGATGGAAAGAAATGAACTGATGTGGATTTCATCGAGAAGTTGTCTCTTTAGATAGCTGGGAATATGGAATAACTGAAAAAAGGGCCTGCATGAACGAGGCAAGAAGCAGAACCAATGTTTTCAGGACTAAAGAACAACAATGACTCACTAATGTATTTCATGTATTAAAAAGAACCCTCCAAATGTCTTTCTGTAGCACACCCAACTGTTCAATATCATACACACCAGAAAAAGCCTACTCCTTCTGAGGCACCAGTTTTTAAACCATCTCCCCTGACCTGGCTGCATTTTCTTTATTTATATGTGTCATTTCACTGTGTATCAAAAAACCAGAATACATGCAGGGAAAACAGACCAGAAACATACTGCAGAAATAGATAAGCTGAGTTGTGAATTTAAAGTAAGCTGCCTATTGGCATCTAAAAATCACTACAGTAACAACACAGTATCAAAGCATGCTATAAATAAGCAATACTTGAAATGTCTTCATTGAAATGTCATCTCTTCTTGCTGTTTTAATTAGCAAAACCAAACTTGAGTTACTGTAAGGCTGGAAAATGAGACAAAAGATGGTGGAATAATTTTGCTTTCCTTGAAATCAATGACAATCCTACTAATAATTCCCGTGGAAACAAGATTAAGCCAAGAACAAACAGTAATCCAACCAAGTGTGTGGAAAACATCTAAGAATTTATTTGCATGGACTTTTTGTAGGCCCTATTCACACTGACACATACAAAGCATGCAAGTCCTGAGACCTCTGATGAAACACTTTGCTTTTAGGCAATTTCCAGAACTTAGAGGAGAGGTAAAAAAAAAAAAATCACCCTGCAACACAGAACTAGAGCTGCTGAATGGGAATAGAATCATTACAAACCTATTCATCCATCACCTGCTCTCCTCCCCAGCAAGGATGAGTAATCTTTACCTAAACTCTAAGGTAACTCTATACAAACTGAAAAGATGGAGAGCAGAGTAATGATTCAGCTAAGCAGCAACACAGGTAACAAGGGAAGAGAAAGAACTTTGTTGCAAAGTTCTGTTATCTGATCTACATCTGTTTTCATCTCTACTGTTTATTATCCATCACTGAACAAAACACCTCTCCTGTTTTTACTAATCCACCCCTGCAAGTACTTAACCAGTCTAAAGCCAGCACAGCTTCAAAACAGCTGTCAAACTGCAAAATATGCCTTCTTCACAAACAGTGGATGTGTCCCAATGGGACCATTTTGTGTATCACAGGCTGCCTGGCATGAACTCCTATTGATAATATGTAAACTGGAGTGTTCACTGGCAGCAGGGGATTTGTCTGTGGGCAAATCCTCTGGTCCTTGCCATCAAAGAGAGGCAAGAGCACACACACTACAGGCACAGCATCAAAGGATCCTGCCCCCAGGCCACCCAGCTTTGCAGGATGCTCACCCTGACTTTCAGAGCAAACAGCAGAAAATGATGGGCTCTGGCTAAAAGTTGTGCAGTTCCATTTACACACATTGGTACAATTGCACTGCTCAACCATCCTGCCTGCCTTGAGGGGGAGAAAGCCCTGCCTCTCAAGGATAACACTAATGGAAGAGTTAAAGTTTCAACACTATGCCTGACTGCTGGAGTCATTTCCTCTACTTTAAGAGCCTGAGAACATCAATAGTAAATGGAAATAACGTCAGCACAGGTCATTTTGGCACTAATATCTTCTCTATGTTTAGCCACAACAAGACATGGCCTAAAGCAAAGTTTCCATACAAAGCAAAACCTACACTAAAGGAGATAGTAACCTTCTGGCTTCGTTCCTTAAAGAAACGATTGATGAGGATGGCATACTCTGAACTAATAAACACAGAATACAGTTTAAAGTAAAAAATAATTTAGATTATAAGAACTGCAAGGTCTGTATGGGCCTTAGCTTGGCAGTGTCCAAAAATCAGTTCCAAACACCCAACTGAAGTTCTTTGGCCTTTCCTCCACAAGTATCAGCCAGGCCAGTTCTAGCGACGCTTTTGTGACTGACACTTGCTGCCAGGAAACACCTGAAATCCGAAAGGTCTCCACACTGACCTCTAAACCGTTTTATATCAATCCATATTTGCTTTCAAACAGCTACACTGCAAGTTACTGGAACGCTGCCAGCAATCAATTCTTCCTCAAAGTACACCATGGTACGATGCTGCTTAAGGAAAGATGTAACCCATGCAGCTAAATACAGGCAGTGAAGCTTCAGGAAGGAAGACATACCCCTGCTGAATGCACCATGCACTTTGGTGCCCCTGTTGTGCCCGAGGAATACATGATGAAGAGAGGATGACTGAAAGGCAGCTGCTCAAACTCCAGCTGGGGAGCTTGGTCTCCTTTCCCAGTAGCCAGGAAGTCTTCCAAGAAGACACTGCACATGAGGGGGAAAAAAAGGAACATTTCAGAAACTTCTGAAAGTATTACCCCAGCCTACACATAAGATTACCTCTGTATTCAATAACTGGTTTACAATAAGCCATACACCCAAACTACGTACATATTTTCTATTTCTAGTCTACTTTTTCAATTACTAGTTATTTTGTTTTCCTTTTCTGTTTTAAAATAAACCATTAGTATAATATTTAGACTGAACACAACAAAACCAAGCCTATAAATCTGCCACTGTGACCAGCTACCAGTCTTAGTTCAAAGCCAACAGCAACTCTGGGACTCAATCATTTCCAAAAGGTCTTTAACATACATAATCCAAACCAGTAAGTAAACAAAAACTCTCTAAAAATATCACTTATTAATTATTCAGCTCTGGATACTTTGTTCTCCCTGCTATGTCCTACTAAATTTTGCCTTCATTTGAGAGCCAGTAATACCAGCAGTGGTTTTGTATGCACAAAACACCTATAGCAACCCACGCTGCACTCCTGTTTTCAGCATGAAAATGGACCACACTAAATCTGACTAAATACCACTTTTTCCAAGTTCAAGAGGTCAGTCAGGCAGTTTCCATAGCTATCAATACCCATCTCATCCCTAGTTTGGACACTCACAGCTCACAAGCTCCCATTACCTGTTCGGAATCTTGGAAATATCTATGGTTTCTCTTGAGGAGACATATGGAATCACTACCACTTTTTTTAAATCTGGAAGCCCTGGAAGAAAGAAGAAAGCAATTATTTCCTACATTCAGTTACCTACCCAAAGGTCTTTTTTGCCTGATTGAATCATACAGTGTAGTGCACGAACTAAAAGAAATAATCCTGATGCACTGAAACCCAACAAACTGTTAACTAAGATATTTCCTCAATATTTTCAGCCTTTTATGTGTAAATCTGCAAGCTCTAGTGCTGTAATACCTCTTTCATTTGTCTTCAGCAGCACTTTGCTTGAGCTTAAAAACACTGTCATCAGCTCCTGCTCCTCTACTTCTAACTGCTGACTAATATCTGCTGATCTATTTAAGTTAAATGAGCAGAAAACTGTTAAAATTACAGAAGAGACGAGTCAGGTTTTACTCAAATCTGTTCTGAAAAATCAAAGTGACCACAGTGATACTGTAAAGAAGGAAGGACAGCAACAAGCAGTGGCAGTGCAAGTTTTGAGTGCTCACAGAACTACAGCATAACTAAGACCAGGTAGAATGCAGTGAAATACCTTTTACCACCCTCAGCAGCTTTTCCAAGTGGTTGTGCTCTTTGCCATTGTATATTACAGCTTCGACAGAGAATATAAGTTTAGGCTGAATTTGGGAAAATCTGTCCAGCACACCCTAGGGACAAAGAGAAAAATAAGTTAAAAAAAAAAAAATTAACTGCTAGGAAATCTCAGTGGATGCTAAATGCAAATTTCAATTCAAGCAAGGAGTAAGGACAGGAGTTAACAGGAGGGTTGTTAAAAGACTGCCTGCTTTCACTCACACAAAATCTCTAAAATACAGCAGGTTTGTAGCAATCTATTTCACGACACTCAAACCAGTAGTAGAGATAAAATCTCCACAGACATTATTCACTGAAGGGTCAAGCTCACAAAGCCCTCTAAGCAGCTAAAAAAGTCACCTTGAGAGTCGGATGTAAACTCATCTAAAGAGGATAACCGTGTGAGCAGGAGTTGGGCCCTCAATTCCCACAAAGGCCCACAGGACACCTGCCTGCACCTGCAGGCAGGTGCTCCATGTGCCCTTGATTTAACAGGGCACCAGTTCTGGGGGTCTGAATGGGGGGGAAACAAACACCCCAGTCTTGTGGGAGATGCATTTGTCGTGTGGTGAGGTGGCACTTGACCTGAACTGGCAGCTTTGTTCTGCCACAATTAACAAAGGAAACTAACCCACTGGTTTTTATCAAAATACCTACATGTTGAACAAACATCCAAACTACCAACAAAAGCTACCACAGCTCCTTTAGAATCTCTAGGGCAGGGCACATTCAAATGCTAATTTTTCAGGTGTCTCCTCCAGCTTACACTGTTTTCAAGATTTATCACAGCTATCATCCTATTTGAGATTAAAACCTCTATGGCACTTTTTCCATGCACCCTGCCTGTACACAGCCTACCAGAAATAGATCTTTTTGTATTCAACAGCAAGAAGCAAATCCTTTTATTAAAAGCACTCAGCACACAGTGATGTTTAAACCTCTCTAGCTACATTACTTGAAGCACTAAGTACTACAAGATTACTCGATATTGTAAAATTGTCAGCTAACTGTTCAAGAACAATCTCCTAAATCATGCTGCAAAAGTCAGACTTGAGTCATGAGCTTATTCCTCCCAGCATTCTTTATTCTTCTGTTTTTGTTTTGTTCTCTACTTTGCAGCCAAAGCGAGAAACAAATTACCAAATTAGAAGATGAATGCAAAAACATCACAATCAAATAATCTCTGTAAACTTCTTTTCAAGCTGGGCTCCTCAGGGTTGCAAGAAAGCCTCCTGCAAAAGCACAGCAGTCCTGTCCTAACAACTTCCCCATGGTCTTACTTCCTCTTCAGGAAAGCTCACTGAACACCACAGGTAAGGTAGAGGGTTATAACTAAACATAAATATTCAACTGTTCCTGCTGAGCATGTCACTTAACAGCTTTCTCTCATATCAAAGGTGCATCACTTAAAAAAAAAAAAAAAAGTGGTTTTCAAGAGGCCCCTAATGTGTTAGCTAACAAACTCAGAAATGCAGATTTAATTAATGCATTACAGCCACTTTCCTGCTTTCTGAGGTATATTATCATACCTACTTCTTTGTACCTTTTCCCAAGAACAGGCCAAGCAGCCACACACAAGTGCTGGGTGTATTTATATATCTGTGTGTACTCATGCTGAGCCCAGAGCCCATATACCCCATTTCCACACTGCCTGGTGCTTAAAAGTGAAGACCAGTTAGAACTAAGGGTACTCTAACAGAAGAATCAAACCTGAAGAGGAGTGAATCAGAAACAGAGATGACTCCAATACTCAGGGTCCTACCAAATCTGCTAACACACCCCGTTGGATTCATTAGCACTGGCAGGATCAAATCCCACAGGGCAGCCTGGCGTGATACAAAGGCAATACAAACAGATGGAACGTGTAATTGCTACACTGGAACTTTAATCCAACCAGATGGCTCAGCAAGGAATCACTTTCACAAAAAGCTCAGGTACAGCAGATATGGCTCGTTCAACTCCATGAGCCTCAAATCCAGTACTAAAAATTGTGCAGGAATCCCAGGAATGGAACTGCACTGGCTGTGCCAGGGCTCACCAAAAGGTTCTCACCTAGTTCTAAGAGCAGAGCTCCTTTATAAACTTATATATCCAACAACTTCTCATGCACAGGCCGCAGAGTGCCACTTTCCTACTAATATATGGAAATGGATTAACAGGGACTAGGGAAATGAAGCAAAAGCTGCCAAGAGTGGCATTCTGTGTGGGTGGGAGCTCACTGGTACTCTGACAGCAGACTTCCTGAATGCTTGAAACCTTTGGATGTATGGCATTCAGAGACTGCAGTGTGTAGGCAGCTCTGAAAAAGTGACATTTTTAAGCTTCAAACATATATACACAATTGGGCTTGAAATGCTGAAAATGCTACACTATTTCCCAAAACACAACCAAAGAAAAAAAATCTTCATTTACATTAACAAGCCTAATGCAACTGCACAGAAGGAGGAATATGTTTTCCTTAGGGTGGAAGCCAATGTCTGAGGATCTCCGCTGATCTCCCTCAAGATTTTAGGGTTTGAATTCATGCCCAACACATGCTGCCAAAGGAGAATAAATGATACTGATGGCACTGCTGCTCCAAGGCTAAGTTTCATTAAAAAACTATAACAGAAACTTAAAGCTGGGCACTGAAAATAACAGCACATCAACATGGACAGAAAACATACCAGTCCTCTGTAATGTAACCAAAATGAACAATCTTCCCCCAGATGAGAGATCAAATCACATTGCAAAGAAGATACTCCATGCTGTCATTTTCTGAGCAAGCAGAAAATATTTGTAGAGCAGATTGATCGCTACATGCTGTAATGATTTTTTAATAGTTTTTTTTCCAGCACATGGAATGCTGCCGCCCTCTAGTGCTAATCTATGGAGCACATTCCATACATTTAATCAGACAGTGGGGTAAACACTGAAATTGAGGGTGCTACCTAAAAGCTTTGGTATTCTGTGCTCTGTAATGCACAAACAGCACATTCTCCAAATGCTGTCCACTTTTAGATAGAAGAAAGGTTCAACACTCTACTATAGAAGTAATTTGTATCTGTTGATGTACGGTAAAGACTTCCCAAAGCAAGCAGAACATATTCCCAAAGCTTCCAGGGCACATCTGTTTGGATGTCATGATAATTTTTATTGTATTTCACACACAGCATTTATTTCTACACTGAATTAAACAAGGTTAGTGATATTAGCCTGAAATTCCCCACGTCACTGGCAAACAAAGCCTTCTGGCAAAGACCAACTGGGCTGCTGCTGAGTTTACCCACACAAGGCAAAGGATGGGACTGCTTAGGCAAAGAACCTGGAATGTGGATAAGCAGCCTGGGATGAAGGACCAAACTTCAGACAACTCAGTTGAACTGCTGCTTATTTGCGTATTTAATATAATAAAAACTCACCAAGACTATGGTGCCCACCTGAAAAATATCCCAACGGTGAGTAGCTAAAGTTACTCAAACCACTAAGCTGCAAATCATTACTGACAACTGAAAGGACATTTTTCAGTTTGTGGTAACTAGAAAAAAAAAAAAAAATCCAGAGTACTTGGCTGTGCCAGAAGGTGGCAGCAAGACTAAAGTGAACAGAATCGATCTGCCACTTGTATTTATCACCCTCATATTTGTCTGAAGCACAGTCAGAGCTTTTCTGCTGTGAGACCACTCACGTTAATGCCAAAGTCTGGTGATGTGGAGCTCCAGATTGCACCGATGCTCGCAGCAGCCAGCATTGCTTCCACAGCATGGATGCTGTTTGGTAAGTAACCTAGGGCAGAGATGGGATGGTTAGAGATGTAGGAACACAAAAACATCATATCTTACAGTCAATACAATATAGACAGTAGACAAATATTAAAAATTCAAAATCCTAGAGTGAATCATCATTTAAAGTTCCCCACACAGCCATAATGTCCTACTTTGAAGTCAAATCAGTTACACAAGGCACTGGAAATAAACCTGTTCATAAAAATATTTGTATCAGGTTTTTTATCTACCAGGTTACCCCAATTTGTAAGTGTTTCTGCTTAATTAATGAGCCTTTCAGGATAAGAGAGCAGCACACTGAAAAAAAATAACTGGGAGAGAAAGTTTGTGGATTGATTAGGCTACATAAAGACTAAGAACATAGCATATGCAAAGGAATAGAACAGGTCTGCAGGAAGAGCCATTAGAGAAGAAATGAGTGACTGGAAGGAAAGGTTATAAGTAGTTCAAAAGCAGATTCAGCTTTAGAAAGCTAAATGTTGTTTGGTAGACACTGCCAGAATCTTAAACACAAAACACGCAAAACCAGTGTCTCAGCTGATAAGGGAATAAGACAGTGGGACAAGCCCTGGAACATTCCCACATAAATGTGGCTCTTCAGGTTTATCTCATTAGCTTGCAGCAAGATTTCAAGTTTTAAATTCGATTTATTAAGACATACAGAATAAATTAATGTCAAAAGAGTTAGATTTTTGGTAAGCTCAACTTGAGCAACGCTCCAGAAGGTGGTGGGTGGCTGAGATTGACTCTGCACTGATCAGAATCCCACCCAAAGGAAAACATGCAACTGGAATTCACAAACTACAGAGGTATATCAAAGACCTGCAATTTCAGATCATCCTTCTTAAGCAACCAAAAAAAGGCACAGAATGAGCCTAAATGCAATAACTCCAACAACTAACTAGAATTCAGCATTTAAGCAAGCTTAAACAGCAACAAGTGGCAATAAAAATGCTTTCCACCTGCTTAACATCAGTGGTGAACACTGACAGATCTTGGACTGCAGGTGCACCACAAGTACTATCAGACAGCAAACATTTACTAGTGCAAGGCACCTCTCAAGGAAACTTATGGATGTACTTTTCAGGACAGAAACTATGTTTAAGATCTTAACAAATTTCTATTACATTAACTTTATCAAATAGGAGGATGCTGAGCTTGATTTTTGCCAGTTTGTCCAAGAGATTGAAAAAAAATCCATCCCCTTCCAACTTTGTAAAAAGTAAACTTGAAGTCAAAAATCAGTGAAATCACTTTCTTAAAACAGCATGGCCACTCCAGTCACTGTAAGCAGCTTTGCCTTTGGAGGTAGGAACTTTGAAAACAGCATTATGACTTATGCCCAACCATTTCTAGAAAACACAGAACTGTGAATAAAAGCCTCCTACCATGTTAAGATATAAATTACTCCCTAGAATTGCCTATAGCTTGTGGTGTTTTGTTCAGTGAAGTTCTTAAGCACATAAAGTGCAGCAAAACCTCATTCCCATAAAGGCATTATTTATGTTATTTTTCCCTTGGGGTCAAGGTTTATAAACAGAGTGCAGTATCCCAAAACCTTAGCGATTTTTCTTTTAAGACAAATCCTCCTCCCTAAGTGATAATTTGAAATACATGAACCCAAACAGATTAAAGTGTCTTTTTGTGTGACAACAGCAGTTCTTTAATTGATGCCAAATATTTCCACTGAGTATTTCTTGGATGGGATGACCAGGGGGCCAGACTGCAATAAAAACTGAAATATCTCTCTCCATGCTTTGGAGCAGTTGATACCTTCCCATAGCTTACAAGCTTCAGTTCTATTATAAGCAATCCTCCTTTTCACCACTCCCACACAAAAGCCCTCAAGGCAAGAACACAAGTCTGTGCTGGTTACTGTGAGCCAGACAATTAAATCATTACTTTCATTTGTCAGTTGGCTTTGAGGTGGTGGTTGAGTTTTGGAGGATATCAGCCAAAACTGCCCAAAGGCACAGAACGTGCACAGCAACTTAGTCTGCATTTCTGTATCTTTACCCAATATCTGCAGGCAGCCAGCCTGCCTGATCACTGAGATTTCACATCTGTCCCAACACCAGGTATTATGGACAAAGATGTTTCTATTCTGGCGAGACATCCTCCAAAAACAGCAATGTAAGAGCTCCTATTACTTTTCTCTCAGCAGTTCCTAACCCTCAGTGACACAAACTACTTCTGCCAGGATTCTGAGAAATAAAAATAAATTGATTTCTCCCTCTCTCACATCTGAGATTCTGCAAACAAATCACAGCAACTGCCACATGTAAAGCTCCCTGCATTTGACTGCACCCCTTGAGATACCAACTTGCTCCTCAGAGCACTCAGTGGGCTGACAGGTCCCAAGTGTCTAAAAGGGGAGAAAGAGGAATGTTGCTGACAAAGAGGCTGAAAAAGGCAACTTCTTTAGCTGGATTAACATCAGGCAGGAGTCACAGAGCAGTGACCTCCGTGTAGAAGCTCTGTACTGCAGAAAAATAATGGTACTGCTAGTTTGGATATTCATCACATGTTTGTTCATATATTTAACTAGAGCCTCCATGTTCCTTGATACAATATTTCAGCTGAGAATACTACAATTTATCAACATGGGTAAAGGCTGCAGAAGGTATTTATCTCTGTAGCTTAAATTACCCCTTACAGAAGGTAGAAATTACTTTCTGTTACTAGAAGGGGAAGGATCTTCATACTCTGGGTGAACTAAAAAGCAATTGAATAGAAGGCTCAAAACACAGGCGTTGGGAACTCATCAACTAGGAATATCAGAGTATGACATACCAAGGGCCCTAGCAGCACTCCTCCTGATTTATAAGGATGTATACAATCTCCATAAGGACAAAGAAGTAAAAGCTTTACTTGACATAACAAGTGCTAACTTAAAAACACTGTCTGGATTTTTTTTTTTTTAAGAGGCACTTACAGCCTGATCTGCTCAAGACAGCATTTTCTGTCAGTTGCTATTTGCTTAATCTAGCACACACTGAGATTACACTTACATGTGTTCACTTACACTGCAGTACTTAACCAACAGAACAGGTAAAAACTGAAGTTTAAAATTTTATATTATCGTGCTGAAAACTATGTCACAAGTCTTATTTCTCAGAGTGCTGAGAACACATTCTGTGCCAGTATTTAATGCCTTTATAAGTTAGAATAAATACTTGGATACTTCTGCTTCTGCTTACACATTTGCAGTCACCTGCACGAAAAAAAAAAAACAATTGAACTGAGACCCTGCAAAGACTTTGACTGAGCATTGAAATAATGCATCAGGAGAAAGGAAAGAGAGCTGCAGCTAAAACATCATCTCAGCGGCTTATACTACTGAATTACATCAGGTCTCAAACAGAAGAGAATTCAAAGACCAGACTTCCAGTTTCCCTTTTCAATGTTAACACAGCATTTCATACTCCTCTAGGACTTTAAAGCTGGACGTCCTACCTAACATTACTGTGGCCTGAGACTATTAGTAACATGCTAATCTCCTCACAAAGCTAGCTTTAAAACCCACGTAAGCAACTAGGGCTAATACAGTTACTATAGATAAAATACCAGCTTTAAACAACATAATTCATTCATATTTTGTTGAGGATGTTTTTGTGTGAACACACGGGGAAGATTATATTGCTTTTAACTGCTGAGTTGTAACAGACCAAAGCTGGCTACAGGGTTATAACAGAAGTAACATATCCAGAGATGAGAAACATACTCCCAGGTTTATTTTCTTCCCATTTCAGTCATTGTTACTCGCCAAACAGATGGCCAGGGGGAGACCAGGAGTACCTCACATGTGGATCTGTGCAGCTTGCATCTATGTCTCTTCCAGCTGTTCAAGTATCACTGACAGTACTGCAAGATATCTTCAGAGGAAGAAATGTTTCACCACACACCTGCTTCAATTGTGTTTACTATTAAGTGCTATCTCCTTAGTGATGGAAAGGGAAGACTAGGATGAAATCAAGCTGAAAAAGTGCTGACACCACTGCCTGTCCACCCACATTCACCCACCTCCAACTTTAACATACTATTACTGTCATGATGCAACCACAAATTGTATTGAACAAACTAGGGGATATGTTAAGTGTAATGAAAAGTTAAAGCAGTCTTATCTTAGAGGCAGTAGGAGCATGGGGATCAACTCCACAGGAAAACAACATTAAAAAAGCCTCATGTGTGATTCCAACAGCTCAAGATGTTAAGAGAAAGTGTCAGCAAAAGGCATCAGAACCTGACAGGCTTGCTAGGTGTTAGGCAGCTGGAATAAAACTAATAGAACATCTCCCTTCTATTCAAAAGCTGATTTTTCAGAAGCAGTGGAAGCATGCCCTGTGTTACTGCTACAAGCCACACAAAGAATCACCCTTCCCTCTGCCATCTGCTATAAATTTTGGAACAAATTAAGTCCCAGTGGATTTTGGCAAGCTTCAGAGAGCCTGACCTTTGATATCATAACTGGGCATAGGACTCAAACTTTCCCACCCAATACTTCACGTGTCTTCTCCAACTCATTTTGGGAAGCCTCAGCCTCTCACTGAAACTCTACAGTTCGGCTCTTCCCAGGATTGCCAGTATCCTCTGGCATGGGAGAGAAACATGGGAAAAAGTTGAGACCCAACGTAAAGAAACATATATATATGTGTATATCTAAATAATGGGATTACTGTCAAAAATCCCATTGGATTTCTTTCACAGGGAAGCCCTCCCTAGATGTGGGCTCCTGCCCAAGGCAAAGCAATCTGTCAGTCAGGAGCACGGGACTAGGGGCACCAGGGGAAGGGAAGGAACGGGAACTGCGCAACAGCTCAACAGATATGGATTCCTGTGACTGAAGATTACAAGGAAAAAGAGTCTCCCCAGCCAGGGTAAGAGGGCAGAGTGGAAAAATGCTGAACGCAAAAAAATTGCCCAGAAGAAAACACCCACATGAAGACTCCAAATGTAAAAAGCTCTACCTGAGCCCAAAAGCACACTGTGATTTTAAGGCAAAGAAGCAGCCCAGATTCATTAATCTCTTTTGTTATCAGAAGGACAGGGGCTTTGTAAGGACTCCAAGCGTACAATCTCAGACTTCTTCCACAAACCAGCTGCAGCTGTTCATAAAGACGTGCTTAAGCTGTTGAAATGATCAAGGGGCCCCACACCACACAGGTCCCTGGTCCCTGCAGCAGCCAGGCAGTGGTGCTAAACAAGACAGTCATTAACTAAAAGGAACTATTACTAAAGTCATAATAATAGCATTATTAGCTTAATTATTAGCAGCTCAGACTACAGCTCTACTTCCAAGAGCATGTTTTCTCCAGCTACAGAGTACATTCTCTGTTGCTCCTCAACAAGTGTTCAGACAAGAACATGACAGTGTCCAGATTGAAAATGGAGACAAAATTAGAGCATCTTAACTTAGTCTTCACTCAGACAAGCCTCCTCAATTTCACTGGGTGGTTCATACCCAATTAAGGATTTAGCTTTAATTCTGTGTTAAAAACCAAGCCACCAGCTGTGAAAATTAAGTGCTCAGTTACCACTTCCAGAGAAGACTTGGGCCATATGCATGAAATGAGCTCTACTGAGTTTACTTTACATTTCCAGGTCATATTTGCGGCTTTAAAAACACACCCTTCTGGTTTTCAAGACACAGGTTCAAGTTTGTAACACGCAGAAAACAAACCAACTATTTCATCACTTGGGATTTGCATCACATAAGAATTTACACACACTTAGGATAATGGCCAAGTATTGCTCAAAAACATGTGATTCCAGGAGTACAATAGATATGCACACCAGAACTTCCAGGTAGGAGTCAAGGAACTTCAAGGATATTGCAGTTCTGACTTGCACTATGCTGAGAAAACTAAAGAGTTCGAGCACATGAAGCAGAGATGAAGCAGCTCAACTGGAAGATCAAAACCAGCAGTTTGGAAATAAATGAACTGAGACCAGCTTGAATAACTCCTTTCCATGCCTGGACTGTACAAGCCATTCACAAGACAAAGAACTGTTTACACAGAAAAATCTACATCACAGTCTTATGACTGCAGAGTATCTGGTGAGATACTGAAAGGATCACAAGGCTCTAACCACTGATCTTCACACTGGTATGACTGGAAACCTTATTGCCCACCAGCTGTTCACTGCCACTGCTGCAGAGGAGACTCCTCCTGAGGGCCCTGGTGGGAGAAGGCAGTAGAAGTCCACTCCTCAAGACCTGCAGTTGACAGAGCACCAGATTACCTGGGGCTGGACAGTGAGGAATTACCAGCTGGCACCAGAACAATCAACCTGGGACCATGATTTCCCAAACTGTCCCTGTCCAAATATGGCAGACCTTGTGAGTTAAGGCTCAGAGAGATGCAAGATCTCCATCACTTCTGCTTCCACAGAGTGTTTATGAAGCAGCTCGTAGTGAAGCTTTGAATGAGGTATTTTCTTTCCCCCTCCAGTGCTAGAGAACCTGCAGGCTAAACCAAGTTCCTTCCCTCTAGAAGTGTATTTCCTACAAATGTAAATACAGCAGCATAAGGGCCTTTTCTTCGCTATTTCACAGAAACTTTCTAATTTCAAATTCAGGTTTCTATAACTAAACTACTCACTTGCGTATTTAAAAAAAAAATTCCACCTCCTGTCCTTTAAAAAAAAAAAAATACTCACCAACAACTCTGTCTCCTACTTTTATTCCCATTTTCCTCATGGCTGCAGCATACAAAGCTACAGCTTGTCTCAGTTCTTCAAAAGTAACTTTCAAGACTTCTTCTTTGCCTTCCCCTGAGGAAAGAAAATTAAAAACAACCAGTCAGAAATTAGGCATTGCAACATAAGTAGAGTCTAGTGCAAACAACCAGTTCTGGAAGAATACAAAGTAATTTTAGGATAAGAGTTTCCATTAATATTTCTGCTTTTTGCTTGTTAAGTTCCTCTTGTGCTGTACCAACCTTTTCTTTTTAATGGGAATCAAGTATTAATCAGTGGTATTCATTCAAAAGGCATAAGGACATTTCTAAAAACAGATACATCTGTGAAAAATACAAAATATTCACTGGAGAAAGGTGTGTTCTCAAAGAGCATTCATGCTAAATAGATTGCTCTCACCAAGGTTAATTTCTAACACAGAAATAACATAATTTTTCCCTTTTTGCTCAGTTCTGTCATTAGCTCTAGGAAGCAGAACCCAGCTGCCAAGTTTAGGTTATATTACAGCAAGTCACTAACTAGAAACTCATGCACATGCAGGCCTGACTTTCAATACGCTTTTTAAACACCTGCCTTGGCCAACACAGCACAAAGCAAACAAACTAACCTAGACTCTATTCACCTCTGAAAGGATCTGCAGGGTGTTCTCAGTTTTGTACTGAATGTCAGATGTTACATAAGCTGTTAATAAATCACTCGTGAAACAAAATTAACAAATCTAAATGTTATGAAAGGGAAAATTTGTCATCTTAAAGATCCCTTCCTGTACTTCCTCCATGTGACTCCTGCAAACCACTTGGCCTGTCCTGTTGCCAGGATTCAGGACTTCTTATGGAAACACATATGCCAAGGATGTCACAAGAAAGGTGACATAGCATACCCTTCTACTTGGTCCTTGCAGAACAGCTGCCATCACTCTGACTGCCTTAAGCAGGGAACAGTATTTTTTAGAATACCATAGCAATAAATTAAGACTTGCAGAGCAAGGGAGCAGGTCATGATGCAAAAACAACAGAAGTCCACACAACATGTAGTTCATAAACTGAGCAGGCACTGCCAACAGAATCTGTGTTCCCACAGAACAACAGGAAATGGGACTCTGATCTCACCTCACGATTAAAGCCCCAGGAGAAGAGAATCACAAAAAGGACTCACTGTGGAAGCCAGTGACAAGTGAAATTATTTAGGAAAGTTACAGTTGCATTCCTGTGCTCTAGAACACCCACATTGCTCCAACAGACTCACCCCTAGTGAACACAAACCAGGTTCCCAAACCACCACTCTGACCTAGCAGTGTGAGGATAACAAAAAATACTCTGACTTAAGAGGTCTTAAGAAGATTAAACACAGCAGAAGGTCACGAAAGAAAGGTGGAGGTCTGCTCACCACAGATGAGCCGGTGTGTTCACTCCAGAACTGATTCAACAATCAATTAGAAAACAGTTTTGCTCTTTTTGGTGTTATCACCTGTGATTATGTGACAGAAAGCAGTGAGTCTCCAGTACAACCTATGACTTCCTGACAAGAAGCAACATCTACATGGACAATGTAGCCACATGTCAAATGCAGTAATTCACTAAATTGATAATAATTCCTTCCATAATTTGAAGTGGCAATATTTAACTCCTCTTTCTCTCAAGTTGAACATTTAGCTTTTAACATTAACAAATCAATCACAATAATTCTACATCAATTTTACTAATCAATGTTTGGCTTTCAGGTGCTCCATAAGATGTACTTAACTGCATCAATTTTTTTCTCCATTAACTACATAAGAAGCTTTTATAATGATCTCAAACTCTGAAAGCAATGAGTCCATCACTTTGAAGCCACCTTCCAGTTATAAGCCTCATTTCTATCAGACTTCACCAAATCAATTCTTATTACACCAAAACTGGGTCACAGACTTCCCCATTCCCTCTGAACTGGTAACTGATATATATAAATATGACAAGAAAGGTTTCTTTCAATACCTCTAAGCAGTAAAATGCAACTGATAAGTGTATTTCTTCAGCAGCAAATTTACAGCAGTAAACCTACTTAAATTCTTATGTGATACAAAGTTTTTCAACAGCTATCAGAAGAGTAACGTGTGTAAAACTGATTCCTATGTATCTGAAGTCATAAACTAAGACTTTTCACACCTACACAATCAAACATGCTCTGGGAATACAGACAGTTAAAGGAAGTCCTTGGCAGATGAAACAAAGTTTCCTTAGAACATGTTCAACTCCATTAAGGTACCTCTCCATTGAGGTCCTGCTGTGTTGAGCAGCACTCAGTATTTGAGGTATTATTTCACATTTGTCATAAACACTTGCCTTCAGGAAGTATTTTGGCACTGTTTCTTGATATTGTCCCTCCCACCCTCTTCCTGTGCTTTTTATTTTAGGAATATGAAGGACTACGTGGGGTGCAGGTATGAATTAACTCTGCTTTTGACAACACAGAAAGGACAGTTATGTGCATGGGGGACTTGCAATTTCACTTGTCTGGAAAGCTAAAGCTCAGTCCTAATTTTCTGGTTACACTGAAGGTTTAAGTGTAGTAAAATCCATGTATAGCCATGAGGATGGTGATGCTGAGATACAGAGAAGGGACTTTTTTTGTCTGCTAACTTTAAAAACCAGTTCTAATCTGTTAGATGGGATTATGTCCTGTGCAGGTGTGTGAGCGCTTCCTTAGGGAGCTGTATTCTGAGCGTCCCCTTTGCTGAACCTAATCCTTATCATGAGACTGACCAAGCAGTGATGCTTCTTAGTAGCTTAACAATGAACAATGGAGTCCTGTAGCTTTAGCAGAGGACACCACGCACAACTACTGTGTAGGTGTTAAAAGCGTGTTCTGCTGGGGTTTTTTTTGCAGAGCTGTGTCACAGATTGTGAAGAGTTACTAACTTTACTACCCTCTTTTCTCCTCACCCAAACCAGTTTGTTTCAAGGTTTCATCAGAGCTGTTTCACAAGGCCTAGTCCTGTGAACTGTAAATAAATATAAGGCATTAATTTTTTCTTACTTGCTGCATACAGTGCAATCTTGTCGTTGTCCTTGTGCTTCAGGAGATTCTCTGCATAGTTCAGACGGCTGCCCTTAAACCATTCCGGGACATCTGCAATACTTTTGGATGTATCAACCACCTGGAAAAAAAAAAACATATAATACATTCCTGGAAAACTGTAATATAAATTTCTTTTTTCAGAGAAATCAGCTAATTAATTCCAAGCTCTTTTTAGACTGTATTAGGCAAGAAGCATTTCTCCCAGCTTACAGATGGCAGACAGACACTGAATCCTGTAATTACTGGCCTGGAAAGATTAATTATTTGTCAGTTGTCACAAGCAAATACGTCATTACAACACAACTTGAAGAAGTTCCTTGCTGACAGTTCTACCTTTGGACCAGCCTTTAATACACAAGCAAAACAAACCACTGTGACAACATCCAGACCACAAGGCACAGGCAAACCACAGTGACCACTGGAGTTTAGCCTCTGGGAACACCCTGAGCAGGGGCTGAGCTGCAGTAGATGGAAACTCTCTCACAGCCTCCCTCTTAGGAAGGTGTGAGCACCCACTCTGCCCCAGCATGAGTCACAGGGTAGAGAGAAAAACATCAGGAACTCAGACAATGGTAATTCAAAACAATGAACTGTAGAGTCAAATGTATCCAAACAGTCCCAGCTTTTTATTCCAATTCTCCAGGCTTTAGAATTAAGGGGGTCCAACAACATCACAAATTCATATTAAGTACCTCTCCATTTAGGACTAGGACATGCAAATGCAATAGAAAGCCAACAAAAATACATTCAGCTGAAATAACTTCCCCATCTTGAACTAATTAAGCCTCAAAGTATTAGTTTACCCCTTGATCAGTCACAGTTAAGACTATACCTTTAAAAACAGCAATAGGTAAAGAGCCCCTAAGCATTAGCCCCAAAGGTCTAAACTCCTTCCAAAATGCACCACTGCTCAGCAATTCAACTGCTCAGCAGCACATATATTTTGAAATCTTTAAATAGAAACTTTATTTTATAGCTGTGTTTTTGAAAGCTTCAGTTTATACCCTCAGGTTCTCTCACAGACTGCACATACATTATAAAAACAGCATTCCTTCAAACCAAGTGAAAGACTCTTCTTTTGAAAGCCAGGCAGAGCTCAAAATACCTCCCACTCCAGAAAACCTAATGGCTTTGTGCTTTTAGATGGGCAGCATATGTATTGCTGGAGGCAATCCTAAAATGAATTTATAAGCCAAGGTAAAGTTCATGTGGAAGTGCTCTACTGCATTACTTTATTTCAAACGTATTTTCTAAAAATGAGAACTCACGTAGATTTCTTTGCTCCTAACAGATAACAAGAACTGAGTTGTAACATTTGCACCTTAACAACTCAGGCTGCAGAAATATTTTTTACGTACCAACATATATTACTGCAGCAATTAGAAGCTGCTCTTAGATCTGACTCATTTATGACTTCCTTAGCTTGAAGAAAAGGGAGCAGAACATTTGCAACATTTTCCAGGAGAAGATCCAACATAACTATTTTTTCCTGAAGTGGAAAAAAAAAAAAAACCTTCAAAGAGGTCCACTAGCATAAGGTTCTGAAATGACATAATTCTTGATGCTCCAGTATTTTCTCCGCAGGTAACACCCATGATTCCTAGTTAAAGCACAGTCTTTGGTAATGGTACTTCATGATATGAATAACCTGATCTCTCACTTGGAGGCCCCTCCATAGGACCAGCAAACACCTTGTCAGGTCCTTCTCATAGCAAAAAGAAAATAGACTCTACATTCCTCATTTAAAATCAGCTACTTGTACCTTGACAGGCCAATGCCAAAGCTGCCATGTCAGAGTAGCTTTGCACGCTGCCAGTACCCATGTTCTTTTCACAAGTGACACAGATATCAACTGCTACAGAGTGACATCAGCATGTCTACACCTAATATTTAAACTCAGTAAAGGTTTTAAGTAAAACAGAGGCTGTTTATATTATATGTGCACAATGTAAAATGTAAAAAAGTTGGGTTTTTTCCTTTGAATTACCTGTGAAAGTATGAACTGTTCCACTGGCTGGGAATAAAGGAGTTAAATCCAGTTCATGAAAAACCCTATTTACCTCAAAGGATAATGCTCACTTCCAACAGACAGCCAGGATCAAGCTGCAAGGTACCTCAAATCAAGCTTCTCAGCTCTTTAGCTCCCACAGACCAGCTCAGTTACTGTGACCTGCCTTGCCTCCTGACACACAGCACAAGTGGACCAATGGCAAGGACTAACAGCAAGTCAGCAAAGCTGGAGTTAAGCCTTGAAGCCGACACTGAGGGAAAGTCAAACAGCAGCATCCACACCAAGTGACTCAGTATGTTCTGCACTCCTTGTCTATCAGCTGACCCCCCCCTCTCCTGTCTCAAGATCTGACATCACAGCAAGACCACTAAAACACACAGCCTGCAGCTCACTAGAAATCGAGTTAAAGCCTTTCTAGACACCCCTGTCTTCTTGCTACTCATTCTCAGGAAACATCCATTTTTAGGGCACCATCTCCTGCTCCAGTTTCCCTCCAGTTCATCAGCCATTGTTGCCATCTGGAGGGACTGACGTCCAGGAGTATCAGTCCTCTAAGGCAAGAGAACAAGTGTTACTGTCCAGTTTGCTCAAGACAATTTGAATTCATGTGGAAATTTAGGATAGACTTGCTAGCAGCACAGAATACGTAGAGAAAACAGACAGCACCTAAATTCAACCTGGCAAGATTTTGAGTTACCAACTATAGAAAATGTAAAGATCAGGTGTTTACAATCTTCAGATTACACACTTCAAAGCAGGCCAGTTCTTACATTCTTGATGAATTCACTCTTCTAAAGGGTGAGTCACATTAAGACACCTGAAAAAGCAGTTTCATGGCAGGAAGAACCACTTGATCTATCATATCAGTGCAGAAACTCATAAAACAGAAGGAGAATTCAAAAGAAACTTAACAGTTCCCTCTGCAGGACTGCCAGTACTCTGAGGGTTCTTGGAACAGATGGCCTCTAGGGATTAAGAAACAAGCCCAGTCCTCCCCACTAAGTTCCAAGAAGGTTCCACTACATCAATCTTTCGAAGTAATCAATCCATCATCTTGAGGAAGATGGAAAGCTACAGAGTGATGATGATATCCTACATTAGGACTGTAAAAGGGCTCCAGCTTTGCCCTCCATTTGCAAGAGCTTCAGAGTCACCTTTTATTCCACAGCAACTCCGTGGCACACTCTAGTATTGCACCCGTGATCATGTTCAACCACTACCATTCCCTCAGAGATATTTCAAGCCCGATTGCAGAGCTTCCAAAACCAGTTCTACAAAGCCAGGGAGTAACAGGTGTGCTTATCTGGTAAGCTGACTCAGGGAAGTTAAACATGAACTTGACAGCACGCCAGCATTTACAGAACCAAGATGATATTCTACCAGCACGATCCTGAAGCAGAAGGCAGGTATTGGCAGACTCCTCACAAGAAGCCAGGAATGACAATGTGTGCAAGAGCACATGAACACAAGGACACCACAGCACAACTGCTTTGGACATAAAAACTTGAGGATTTCACTGTCCTAAAGCGTACCAGCAATGAAACGCCACCACCTGCCACACAAGGAAATTCAGGACCACACACTTGAGAGATTCCTCGTATCACTTGTGGGAGTTCAAAGAAGAGGTCAAAAGATTGATTGTAAAATCAGATTATTTCCTGTTTGTCTTGCACTTACTGTAAGATAAACGCTCAACTTACCTCATCGTACAGGCGAGAGCAGACAATGTTACTGTACTTCCAGAATTCCGCCCAGAAGTCTGAGTAGGATTCCACCGACCACTGGTATAAGTCATCATAGTTGGCTGGAAGTAATAGATACGTGTTAGCACTGTGCAGATAATTACAGGAATTTGGACAAACTACAATTAGGGATGTCCCGGATAAAGAAAATTTGTGGCTAAAACAAGCAGGAAGATAAATCTGACCACACAGAGCAGATGACTTCTGCTCAAGGCAAGTGGCCACAGCAGAGTCTGCTTGAATCTGAACACACGGTATCCCTTCACCTGACTGTTACAAGGTATCTGCCACCATAGAGACAGAAACCTTTCCTAATAACTCTGTGTAGCGTCTCCCCCTACATCAGTGCAGCTGCAGATCAAACAGCCAGACGGAGTCCTGTCAGCTGACACTTTCACTCCCCATCATATCAACGTGATTATGTTCACACAGCAAAAGATAAACAAGGCTTCCTGAGAAGGGACACTTGCTATATGGTTCTAGTCTGGGGCCAAAGACCTCTGAGAGCTCAGTGATATGGAGATTATGTGACACTCATTATACAACAGGACCGTTAGAGGAACCACATCTAACTTTCAGTAAATATGGGGTCTGACAGACTGCAGAGTAGCTTTTCATGCTGAAATAGCATGAATGAAGTGAAACAAGATGTTTACTAGCTAGACTATAAAGCATAACCTCCTCATTTCCATGTTTAAGTCTTCCATGATTGTGAGACAGATGAAGTAAGCTGAGGAATGCATAAAAAAAAACCACAACTCAAAGTAAATACCAAAATTCAGTGCAGAAAACAGTTCTAACTATGAATAACTGAAGCTGATTCCTCATCACCAGCTTGAAAGTGACATTCCCTCATGTCCATGCTGTCTGAAGTTGTGCCAACAACCAATTAAATATGAATATCTGCCATCAGTGATAGTAAGTTTCCTGCTCTGCCAACTGTGTTCCCTATTTGATGCTTTCAGCTAAACCACTCAGAAGCATTTTCACCAATTAGCTTTGGTTTGTCATCCTGTTATCCAGCCAATTGCTTCAGAAGCCAGCTTGCATCCTCTTCCTACAAGGAGGACATCTTCCAGCTTTATAAGAGAAAAACATTGAAAACTACCTCTGCACCGTTACACATGGCCACTACAGCAATATCCTCACCAAGTCTGTCCCTTGAATGTTTTATTCCACCCCAGCCCTTCCCATCAGAGTGAGATTATTCCATAGGTGTTACTGGCATAGACGCAAAGGCAAAGACTTCTTCATAGGTCAGATTTTGCCTACATATTGCCTCAGTCCCAGACTCCTACATACCCTTTTTACACTCCACCCAAATTACTATCGTGCATATCACACCTCAGCTGTGTGGAGATAAGACTTTACCAAGAGGAGCTTAGCGTTGCCACTTCCCCTTTCAAAACCAAACTGTACCACATGCTCCAAATAATTTAATAAATGCAAAAAGGTTCAAGCCACTACTAATTCGGTTTCTCACAGTATGAACAGTTTGTTCTGTTTTGTCTATACAGTTTGTTCCAAATAAGCATCAGCACACAAGTCCTTCAGGGCACAGGCCTGTTACTCAGCAGTTCAACATTGCATCTTGTTACTTCATTTTCAGGGCCAGGCAGAGCCATGCTGCTTAAAGGGCTATATTGCCCTTAGCTCTCCTCAGAGAGTCCACATCTTAAGGTTATATAAAGCATCCACTCTTTGCTGTTGAACAGCACTCAGGCCAGTGAACACCAGTGCAAACCTAATGGAGGCTGACAAAGGTTTCTATATACGCAGAGGAATCCACTTTCCGACAGAGAAAGCAACTTCAAAGTGGGATGAAAAGAGTTCTAGTTGTTTCAGCCATAAACACAGGCAGCCCATCTGAAGCTGCATTCACTCTTGATCATATGAGTACCAGTTACATCACATTTCACTGGGGAGTTGGCTAAAACCCTTTCTTCCTATCCAGCAGGAGAGTTAGGCACTACACATTTGCCTTCCCAAGGGAAGCCATCGGCAGTCAAAATAATGACCTGGCTTGCCTACATAGCAATCAAGGTGAGGAACTGTTTTCTGGATGTGAATTACAGAAAACACTAGATACACTGCTACCACTCCAGGATGTCTCTGCTCGTACCCCTGATACCTATACTGGACTGAAACTTTCAGGCTACTTACCAAAACCATTCCCTTCATCCCCCATCAAACAAGGGATCACAGGAAAGCTACACAAGCAACCTGGCCCTCAAACACTTAGGAAAAGCAGACAGTATAAAATAAGCAAGTCAGAACTGGAGGGTTTGACCCACACATGCACTGAAGTTCACCTGGTCCATGATGTGGCTGAGCCCACACAGCCAGAACCACTGACACCCTGGAGACACGACCTACAGTCAGAAAGCATTGAAAAACCAACATTTTGGGTTGAAAACACCCCTGGAAGTCCAACCCCTGCTCAAAGTACAGCTCATTTCAAAGATGACAGGCTGTTTCCAAGCCAAACAACCACACACACCTATTCACAGCCATACAGGTATTCCTGAACAAGCACAAAGCAGAGCTCGCAGTTCACAAGCTTTGGCAGATGCACAGCAAAAAACCCTTCTCTTCCACCACTGAACAAGCCTAGTGGTCACCTTTCACCTCCCAGTATACCTGAATATTACAGAAACACACTCTCCCTAATAAAAGATGCACATGGCCTTAACTTAAATCTCACACACCTATGCTGTTAAAGCATCACACCAAGGCTTACGCTAACCTCCCAGCAATGGCAGCAGAGACCTCGCCTTCCCACATCCCCTTAAAACACCAAGTCACCCCAGTGCTGCTCCTGGCCCCAGGAGCTCCCTGCACACCAGGAGTCACCGCAGGTAGCGATGCCGGTGCTGCCTGGGCTGACATCCAGCCACAGCACCAGGCGCAGATAAGGCTGTTTGCCTTTCCCATCAGCACGTACCTTCACACTCAGCGAACGCTGCCCCGGAGGCCTCTAGATGAGGCTCCAGCAGAGCATCCCGCCTGGACCACCGGGCCCCTCCTGCGCCGGGGGGTGCCCAGGCACCCGAGGGATGCGAGACCTGAAGGGCAGGAGGATGCCCCCCAGCCCCACCAAGGCCCCACGGTGAGGCCAGGCCGGGGGAGGCAGAGCCTAGGCGGCCCCCATAGCCCGAGCAGCGCCCGCCCGCCCGCCCCCGCCCTGCGCTCACCCAGGCGGATCCCGCAGCTGCTGGCCACGGCGGCGCGGAACCGGTCCATGTGGGTGTTGCGCTTGGTGTCCGGCTCCCACATCACCTGCGACTCCATGATCTCGGGCTCACGCGACATGGTGGCGGCAGAGGAGCGAGGCGAGCACCGCCCGTCCCACGGGGCTCCGCTAACGGCGCTACCGCCCGAGACACCCGCACGCCCGCCGCGCCTCAGCGCTGACTGCGGCCCCTCCTCCGCGCGCACCCTTTAAGGAGCCGCCGAGCGCATCACTCCGTAACCTTCCGCCGCAGGGAAAAAGTGCGGGGCGGCGGGCTCCGCCCCGCCCGCCCAGGGGCGGCGGGGACCGCGGGGACCGGGGGGAGCCGGGGCCGGGAGGGGCGGCGGGGCCGGGACGGGTCGGTGCCTGCCCGGGCAGTGCGGGGTCACCTGCTCCGCCGACCCCGCCAGCGCGGGCACAGAATGAATGGGGGAGCGGCCGCGCCGGTCCCTGTCACCTCTAAAAGGTCACCAGACGCCGTGTGGGCACCGGGAGGAACCGTCGCTTCGCGCTTCTCACCGGATCTCTGAGAAATCAGCGCCGCTTTATTAATTTATTCCCCCCCCTCCCCTCCAAGGGACGCCTGAAGAAGTCCCAACAAGTGTCTTTGACCCAAAAAATGAGGCAAGAAACGCGTCTCTCCGTGGCCTCGCCACCCCAGCTGCGCTTGTGTAACGCTCCCTGCCTACACAGCTTGCACCTTGGATTAAAAGCTATTATTGCTGTTCTGCTTTCCGAGTGTGACCTCTGCTAGTGACTGTCGCAGTGATTTCAGCTAGGAATTGGCATTAATGAAGCACTAAACTATGTGAAATTTGCTACTGGACTCAGTGATCCTAAAGATCTTTTCCAACCTAAACGATTCCACATCTCATCTGTGCTGCTTATGTAACTTATTTTCAAGGTCATGATTTCTCTTCTAATGCATAGAAGCCTCAAAAGATGGGAGTTTGATGATAAGTTATATACAGGCATATTATATATGGAAGTAAGATACTTCCAAGATACTATGTAGCAGATCATATACTTCCTCTAAATTTAATTTAGATTTTTGTGCTACCAGAGTACAACTACTTTATTAAAACTGGAGACCATGGACATGTGATTTAAACAATCCACAGTTTATTTGCCTCGAGACAGACATTACATCTGGCATATTTTTAAATAACTCTCCCCAGAGCTATAGGCCTTAGGGAGGCTAGGGTGGAACGGGGACACATTATCTGCCTGTCTGTCTACCTCGCCTTGGCAGCACTCAGAGGTCAATGGAAGTGTGAAATCCGCGGCCAGAGACCTGCCAAGAGATAAGCGAGAAGGCAGGACAGGAGTGGGCTTGGGATCCACAGCCTGCGGTAGGGAAACTGCCTGGAGAACTTGTCTCTCTGCGACTTGCGGAAGAGATAACTTTTATTTTTAACCCTTTGGGTTGTGAAGGTGTTTAGGACACTGACAGAGTGTTAAGCTGTGTGGGTACATCACTGGTACAGGACATGGGGGGAAGCAGCCAGGAGGGTTTTGCCTCCCACCCCACCACAGACCTTTTACAGCCCCTCCACACCATTTACCCCCAGCTGGCAAACAGCCTGCCCTGCTCCGGGGTACAGCTGAGCTTTGGGACAGGTTTTGGACAGCACTGGAAGCAAAGCTGTGTTTCCCCATTTTTACCAAGGTGCCCCCACCACTCTTTCCCCCGAGGGGGTCACAACCCAGGAGGGCAGACACGAGGCCACCCCTGACTCCTGTGCTCGGCGCTGGTGAGGCCGCACCTTGAGTGATCTGTCCAGTTCTGGGCCCCTCAGTTCAGGAAGGCCACTGAGGTGCTGGAGCAGGTCCAAAGAAGGAAACAGAGCTGGCAAAGGGTCTGGAGCTCAAGTCCTCTGAGAAGCTGGGGGGGGCTCAGCCTGGAGAAGAGGAAGCTCAGGGGAACCTTCTCGCTCTCTGCAACCGGAAGAGGTTGTAGCCAGGTCGCAGGTGGTCTCTTCTCCCAGGGAATAAGTGACAGAATGAGAGGGCATAGCCTCAAGCTGAGCCAGGGGAGGTTTAACTTGGAGATCAGGAATAATTTCTCCACAGAATGAGCGAGTAGTCATTGGAACCACCAAGGAAGTGGCGGAGTCACCATCTCTGGAGCTGTTTGAGGAAAGACTGCATGTGGCACTCAGTGCCACGGTCTGGTTGATATGGTGGCGTGGGGTCACAAGTTGGACTTGACATTGTCAGAGGTCTTTTCCGCCCTAATCGCTGCACCGATTCAGTGACTCCCTGACCCGCCGCCGCCCCTCAGGGCTGGGCGGCCCCGCCCCGCGGACGGATCCCGCGCGGCGCGCGGCGGCCGCGACGTCGGCGCGCCTGATTGGCTGCGGCGCGCCTGGCTCCACATCAGCCCAGAGCGCGCTCTCCTCGCGGCTGGGCTGACGGGGGAAGAGCCGATCCCGCGGGGAGCCAATCGGCGCACGGCTCTCTCAAGCCCCTCTCTCTGCCGGCCAATGAGCGGCCGGATCGGGGGAGGTGTGCCCAATGGCAGCAGGGCTCTCATGTGGGAGGGGCGGGGGTTCCGCGGCGTGTGCCCTCAGCGCTGAGGCGATGCCGAAATTGCCCGGTTTGAGATAAAATGCACAAAATCGCAGAATAGATTGTATTGGGAAAGACCTCTGAGATCATCGAGTCTAACTTGTGACCCGGCACCACCCTGTCAACCAGACCACGGCACTGAGTACCATGTGCAGGCTTTCCTAGAAAACCTCTAGGGACGGTGACTCCACCACCTCCCTGGGCAGCCCATTCCAATGTTTGATCACCCTTTCCGGGAAGAAATTATTCCTAAAAGCAGCAGCAAAACAGCCGCTTTTACCCCCCTGCACTCCCCACTTCACTTCGAGCAACCCGGGCTTCTAAAAAGAAAATGAGCAGCCCAATTACCTGAGAAGGAACCCAAAAATCCTCTCGCCGAGCTGAAAAAGGTGTTTAAAAAAGACTGACAGAATTACAGCTCAGGGAGGAAAGGGTGTGCTTGGATTTGGTGATAAAACTAGGGCTTTTAGGAAAGTCTGACAACACTTTTATCTCATTAACAGCAGTTTTACTATTGCATCCTCACTTGGAGTGGGTTATGCATCCAAACTCCCTGCCTTCATTCCAGCTTTGCTTTATCCAAACCAGTTTTTCCCTCTTTCAAAAGCGACTTTGGAAAAATGTGAAGAAAGAAAATTAAACAAATCTTTAATGAGAAAATGGGCACTAGGAGGACTGCAATGACTGCTGCAGTTAGTTTGGAGACTAGATTAAGATAGCTGGAGGAAAATAGCCTGAATAAAATTAACTGGAATTGACCATTTTCAAATCTTTTTAAGCCTTGCTTTATGCCTGCTGATAGTAATAAGGTTAAAAACGAGATCATATTTTCTGCTTTAGATTAGATTAGGAGCCTTTCAAAAGATTGTTCAGAGCTGATGAACAGCAATAACATTATTGTCTCTGAGGTAACCTGAAGTCACTCAGGAGTTTAAATTGAGTGTTGAAATTACAGGATCTGTGAAACAGAAGTTTTGTAATAATGCCTTGTGGCAATACCTGCAGTATGCTGAGGCCTGACCATGACCCATTGATCCAACACCTGCATTAGGAAATATAAAGATTTTGGAAAGTTTTTCTAAAAAATCCTATGTTCAGAGCACGCACCAGCTGCTTAATAAGTCTGGATAAGAATAAGAAACTTCTGGCTCATTCAGTGTCTATGATCTCTGCAACCTCTGTAATTAGAATCAAAATCTAAGGCATTTGCAGAAAAGGAAAAAGAAATAGAAAGGAAAGGGAAAATAAAAAGGAAAAGGAAAGGGAAAGGGAAATAGAAAAGGGAAAGGGAAAGGAAAAAAAATAACAAAAGAAACACTGACACATTGCAAGAAAAGCCTCATAGGGAGGACATGAAAAGGCCTAAAATGACAAGAGGTCATAAAGCAATCAGCTATGACAGGTTGAGACTGAGAAGAAGTAAGGACAGAAAAAAAAAAAGAGGTTAAAAACTGATCCACAGTAACACCAGTTGGCTTCCTTTAAGGCTACACCATTTTTTTTCAGCATTACGATGATTTAAAATGAGAGCCCTATGATTTGCTAAAATTTAGACATCTAGGAAACAGACCCCCATTTCCTCTAAATACAGTTCAAATTGTTGTTAAATCCCTCTATTTGAGCAGGACATCTTACACAGTTTCTAGTGCAGATGAGGAAACAGAGAAGCACACTCATTCTTCTTCTGTACAGTGAGACCCTCATCAGAGAATCTTTAGAAACCTCCCAGTTTTCCTCATTAAGAGGTTCAGTGTGGCTGAGATCGATATTTCATACCATGATGCAACGTATTCTTTGAGCAGTCTCTATTTCATTTATTTAAACAAGAAGAGTGAAATACCCAGTAATTTCATAAGAACTGTGGATTTGGAGAGTTGAATGTACTGAAATAGGCTCATTGAGACAGATCAGGAAATCAATTAAACACCGGGAAGATTCCCAAAATATCCTGACCTCATGTGAAGGACAACCCTGAGCAGAGGCTTCCAAAGGGAGCCCTACCACAGGCCTCAGAAGCTCTGTAAAGAGCAGATGGAAAGAAACAACAGGCGCTTGCAGAAGTGATTTTGAAGGGATCTCACGATGGAAACTCAGGTAGAGAAATAAGAACATTCCCAAATTCCCTGATATATGAGCCAGTGGACCAGAAACAGCACAAGGGGACCCAGACAGTTAATTACCACTGTTTTTTTGTACTGTGGAGCTCTTTACATGCAAGAAATGCCCCAGAAGCTGACATTTACTGTGTGTTCAGAGTATAAGCACAGAGGGGGACACTGAGGACAGATAATCAGAAACCTCATAAGAACCTCAGAAATACCTGTCATCAGTTACCAACCTGTTTTGGGAGAGCATGAGATAGACTTCAGAATATACACAGGGATTAACAAATCAGCAAATTCAGGGCCATCTCAAAAAAGAATGAAAGCACCATTTATAAATCTATAAAGAATCTATATCCTGCTGAAATCAAGTAAGATACTAAGTACCTTCCTGGATCTGAGCCCAACCCTTCCAGGGCCAAATAGAAATAAATGCTGAAAGGTCTAGGCCATTCTGCTAAATGTGAAAATAAGTGTTTTGGCCAGACTAAAACTGGGAAAAAGGCCATAGCAAGATGTCTCTATTCTAGATGTCTACTCAACTACTCAGCTACCAACCAGGCTTAGGCCAAGCCATGGGGTTTAAACACCGAGAACATGGGGTATAAATTTGGAAAGAGATACTTCAAATTATTTTAGAGACTGGAAGAGCTACTAGCTGCACCCCTGGCTCTGTGAGAACTCCCCAGGAAGGGGCCAGTGAAAGCAGAGATCTGCCCTGTAACTTTCAGATAAGAGACCCTGAGTGGTGCCCAGATGTGAGCATGGACTGCCAACACCTTCCCAAGCTCACCAAGAAGGATCCCTCATGCCTCGAAGTTAGTGTTGGGCAATTTAGCAAACATTTGGTGCCCCAGCTCACGTCACCAGTCAGTGCAGAATCTACACTACAGACCTGTGGATCTATTTTTATATCACAATCATTGTGTTCCTGTCAATTAGCGATGAATCAGAATGCATTCTGAAGGCAATGAAGTGCTCTTTTACCTCCTGGGGATTCTTATTTGACTCTGCCAACATCCTGCTTAGGCTTCACTACACAGAAGGACCTGATAACATTGTCTAATTTACACTTCCCAGCTGTTTTTTTATTAGCCTGGTTAGTCAGGAAAAATCAACACAAAACCTGTCAGAAGGGGGAGTTACACCACGAAACGTGCTGAATTTTGGCATTTCATCTGAGTCAGAGTTTCTCAAGGGTGAAGGATGTGAGCATCCTTCAGAATCCCTCAAAGTGAAGTTGATAGAGTAATGGAAAGAGAGATGTCATTTTTTTTGACATGAGAGTTTTATATTCCCCTTGTCATTTGAGGATTGAGTCTTAGAATTGCCTCAGAGGCAGAAAAATGCCTCATGGGCATTTCATACCCATGCAGGAAAGGCATCTCTCTGTATTCTGTAAAGACTGTGACAAGTCTCCAGAGCCCCAACA